ATTTAAGAAGTATGATATAAGTAATAAAAAATATAATATAATTTTGGGTGTAAATAGTCTTAGTTAAAAACATTTAAAAATTCTTAAATGTTAATAGTATTGCCGTATTCAATAGGTAAATCTCGAATAGCTTTTCTAATCGAGATTCGCTTTTAGTGCAATTTTAGTTATGGATCGAATTCTCACTTTTACCAATGGATTATTTAATCCGACTATATATTAATTAAATATCAATATTAATTATGTAATTCTGGACCAGTGTTTCCTCATGTAGATAATTAAAACCGAAAAATATTTCTAAAGAACACTAATATTGAATATCTGGTAAAATCTGACACAGTTATATAGTTAGTCCAAAAATATAACTTAATTAACAAATTATTTATTTTCACTACACAGCCCTTCAGGAACCAGTGCTTCCTGAAGTAGACAATTAAAACCGAAAAATAATTCTGAAAACACTAATAAAGATTATTTGGCAAAATTTGATACAGCTATATAGTTAGTCCAAATATATAACTTAATTAACAATTGTTTTTTGAAATCAATTTTTTCCACTATTTATTAGTTTTCTGTTCAAAATAATGACTTTGTCTTAAGATAGAAAATATTCATTTAAATGTAATAAATTATATTATTAGACTGTATTGACTAACAGCTAAAAAAGATATATATTTATATATGCATGCAAATATAGTTTAAAGAAATGTACTTACTTCCGAGGACATACTGTCGCAAGAACTGCATATTATAGACATCGTCATCACTTCCGCCAATACCCATGCTATAGATAGACCCATAGTGTTATATTGTCCTTTAGGCTGTTCATGTATTGTAGTCAGTGTAGAAAATGCTAAGTAACTTTGATTTGTAACAGTATAAAATGCATAACCGATATAAAATAATAAACCCACGCCCGTTACTGAATTTATGTTTTCTGTAATATAGCGGAACTTGCAGAATATTTCAATCAAATTGCTCAAATCTCTCCAATTTTCTTTTGCAGATTCTTTTGTAAACTCATCCAATTTTTGATTTACGAACTCTATGCGTCGGGTAATATTCTTAAGGACTACGCGTAGGTACAAAGCGAAAACACCTGCAAATAACATTTGTAGCGCATAGGCTGTTAGAAGTACGCATTGCTCAGTACTAGTAATTTCACTTCTTATGTGTATATAGTAAAATGCGACAGCAACCACGCCAAATGATATTAAAGAAATTAGTATTGCAAGAAAAGGGCATGTATATGATCCCGTAAAACCACCAGCTTCCAAATATTCATCGATCTTTGCTATATCCTTGAAGGTACGACAATGTTTCGAACTGTTATAAACGCATGAGATGACTATCATCGTATAGCTGATAATACAGAATAGCGTTTCAATGGTTTGATTGATTTCTTCAGTATCGCCATGTTTATTCTTTAATATCTTAAAGTTACTAGCGTTGAATAATACGTCAACACAGAACGTCACAGAGCTTATTAACAAGACAAAGCTTATGAAATAACCATAAAGTTGACCACCTTTCGAAACACAAAAATCATCTCCGGTACCTCTAAATTGTGGCAAAATCGCACATGCCTGAGTCGGACGCACTATAAAGTTAATATCTCGCACTATTTTCATTTTATCTATTGGATCAATCTTTCACGACTACTCCAGACTCTGTTGTGTTATAAAATAAATATAAACGGTTTACTAAAAAGGTTCACTGACTATTTTCATTGTTAAAGAAAATTAGTAACAGAAGTTAGAAATTAATGTGATTATCACCTACCACGCATAATATATGAGGTAAATTATACACTGCAAGAAATGCAATAAAATAAACTTTATTAAATTAGACAAACTCATTATATTTAATGTAAATAAATTTAAGTTAATATGCTTCTTCAATAATTGAAGGCATTTTATTTTTATATGAATGAACAAAACCTAAATTGAGTTAGGTTAGGTGAAGTAGAGGGAGAAACGAATCCTCCTCAATCAGCTAAGAAAGCCGTTTTGATTCTTTAATTCCTCGCAATAATGGGTAGAAGAATGGTTCCAGCCAGTTTGAACCAGCCTGGAATATTTATAAAAGGGAGAGTCTGGCCTGTGTTAATGCTGGAGATTTCGCTGAGTGTGTTAAAAGGGGGACCCAAAAAGCTTAACCTTGGCAAGCGTGGAGACCTTTCTTCAAACACCGTTAGACAGGCGTTACAGGAGATACAACAGAGTAAGCTCCATGCTATCCTACGGTCCAGTGCTCTATATAGACAGTTATTAACCTAAACACCGTTAGACAGGCGTTACAGGAGATACAACAGGGTAAGCTCCATGCTATCCTACGGCCCAGTGCTCTGTATAGACAGTTATTAACCTAAATACCTCTGATTTGCTTCTATGTATCAAGTTATCAAGTCAGAGGTTCTACATTTGTAATAAATTGGCCATGTAGTCCTTGATCTGGCTGAGACCTAAATTATTATCCTGAATTTAGTTAAAGCTTATATGTATAATATATTTTTGGAATCAAGCAAATCACAAACTAATCGAGCTTTTAAAACCATTATCAAGCAGAGCTTATAAAACTATATATATGTCTTCTATATCCTTATAAGATAATTGTTTTGAACCGATATTATAATTTAATGTACGTTCTAAGCAACAACTGAGTAAATTCAAAATTTGGACTCCATGCAACCAGATGTGTATGTACAGCAAAAGAAATTTTGTTTCGGACGGACAGACAAACAAAACAATAATATATTATAACACACTATATTATATGTCAATAAATCTTCCATATCTGATACTTAAAGTAATTGTATATGAATGAAATATAATGTTAAAATACAAGATTATAACGAACTTATATACGATAGTCTCAATTTTATAATAAGCACACAATTTCTTAAAATATTCTTAATATGAACCATCATCTTGGCCCAAGTGAGTTTTGGTGCGCAAGGACACTATTCCAACTTAACCTTATCTAACACCCTTTTTAAAATATTATATACTAATGATTGAGTCATGGAAGTTACCAAAAACCGCTCCAGAAAGGACCATATTTGAAGAATATTAGGCTTTCTAAAGCCTGACGAACAACAAAAAAAAGATATTGTAATTAATTAAATTTTTCTTAAAATCCATTGACTACAGAAAATGGTCATTAAATTTAAAATCTATTGCCACCACTAAAATCTATCTAGTGCCAAAACAAGCGTTTAATTACTTTATGAAATTGATCATCATAGCACAGCATCATAGCATATAATCACTAACAACATTGAGGAAACAATAACAGCCCTTGATATATGAGACTGGGAATCAGTGCTGCAACAAGCACTCTGTTGTTGAAGATACTATCTTTAAAATCATAAAGCAAAATGCATGTGACTATTCAATGTTAACAATCCAGTGTCTTTAATATCCATCTTCAAAATCTGCAGAAGAGTCATACTGGGCTGTTTTTTTAGCAGTACAAAATATATATAAATATATAGGTTTTATTACCATAAGGCACTACAAATATAAGTTTGGTTTCTATCAAAGGAGTTAAGGTATCCTTCAAATGTTTCATTTTCGTCGCATCACTTACAAGCAGATATCTAGGGTTTTACTTTTGTCGTACTACCTAGTTTAGATCTAAGATTCTTGCAATTTCGGGCCAACTGATAATTGGCTCTCAAGCTTGAGTACATCTTTTGAGCAAGATAAGTAAAATTATGCAGGTAGGTCTAATATACATTAGATCCACTCCCAATAATTAATTCGAGTAATATTAAATTACTACATAACATTGAAAAACGATTACAGTCCTTTCTGATAAGATGGCTGAATTCAATATATCTACTCCATAGTAATGCAAACTTTTTTGTTAGAGCACATAAAATAAATATTGATCAAAGAATTTCTTCAAAATAATTATAGATACAATATTTAGGTATTATATTGTTCTCATTACTTATTTTACTTCTGATTGGAATAAGTGTTTCATTATAAAAACGATTGATTTCAGATTCACTCTTACTTTAAAACAAAAATATACTGAAAGTGATCGAAGTCATTTATGTATAAATCATATACTATAAGAATTTATAGCATATAGCATAAAGAGGTTATAGCATATAGATTAATTTGCTATATAATATTTCTAATTATTTAATATACATATTTATATTGTATTGATTAATATAAGTTAAAAAATATTTAATATATATGTATATGTTAATATGTAATAAAGTCATTAATTGACGTTATATCGTTTGGCTCTAATGTGTGTATATAACGTGATAGTTCTCTTAAGTGCGCTTGGACTGGACCAGAAATTCTGTACAGTTAATAAAACTGTTCTTTTAAAATAATGATAATGTATGAAAATAAACACTAGAGATGGTTAAAAGAGATCTCTTTTTGTTAGAGCAGAAATTTCTCTCAATAGAACTTTGAATGTATACTAATAATAACATATCAATACTAACAAAGTACATACAAACATTGTTGTAATATTTACATTCTGATTAGATAATTAACTACTTGTAAACCAGCAATTCTGATTTGAGAATCTCTGCCGATATAATATTTAGTATGGAATGTATCCAATATTGATATCGGATACTGGATATAGTTAATACAAAGACTTGCGTTAAACTTAAGTGTTTGTTTTCTAACATATAAACTATTGTTAAGAATCCACTACTCCCTAGAAAGCCTGATTACTTCGACTTCTCTGCGAGCGAATAGACATCTCTTCCATAACAGTAGTTGGCAGTACTAAATCTTCAATATAAATGAAAGACTCTGTGTCCATTTTTGGATAACTTTATTTTTGTCACTAGAATTATTAAAATGAATATGCTAAGAAATGGACAGACAGACTTAGATTCAAGAACAATAACGTGGTAAAGCTTAATACCTATTAATAATGATTTTAAAATAAACAAAACAATAAAACTTTTTAATGAAAAATAATAATATTTATTATTATTATTTTGTGTTAAGTTTCATTTAACCAAATTGCACATTTTGTAAATGTACCGATTTCGTTATCGTAGCATATAAGTTAAATTGTTTTGCTTCATCCCCACTTTGATTCCAGAATGTTATCGCTCTACCACGGTACAACGGAAAACGGGATCTAAGATTTTCTACAATTTCCGCATTTTCCACAGCAACATCCTTATAATACTTATCGAGATATTCAGTTTTCAGAGATTCAATGGTCTTTTGTGGATAATGCAGTTGTTTTATATACTCATCATAATATTCCTGAAAAAGCATGTCCTGCATGTACTTGGAACGAGTGGCTTTTAAATTAATTTAAATCAATTAATTAATAAATATATAAATGAATTTCACAGATATGTGTACGTACTTAGTGGTATTCTTTTTGGTGGAACCTTGTACATATCCTTTACTTCAGTTGTAAGCAATGTAGAGCTCATTTTTGAAATTATTTGAAATATTTATTTATAATAAATAAAAATTTTGTTAAATTTCTTCAATTCTTATCTCTTTTTTAATGCAAAAACGATGACTTTTACTATACCAACGGTGCAAACAAACTCAAGCTTTCATATTTATCATAGAAACTATTGCTATGCTCCATTAGTGATGTATGTAAACAAATGAGTTTGAATATATGTTGCGACTTACTATAATAAATCGAATTAAATAATAAATAAAAATAAAAGAATTATATTTCTACTTAGAAAATAGTTTCTATTAAGACAATCATTTATATTAAAAGTATAGTTTGTACTAAAAAAAATAGTTTCTATTAAGAAAATAAATTCTATTAATAAAATAGTTTCTATTACGAACATAATTTCTATTACGAAAATAGTTTCTATTAAGAAAATAGTTTCTATTAAGAAAATAATTTATATTAAGAAAATAGTTTTTATTAAGAAAATAAATTCTATTAAGAAAATAGTTTCTATTACGAAAATAGATTCTATTAAAAAAAATATTTTCTCTTAAAAAAAATATTTTCTATTAAGAAAAGTACTTGCTATTAAAAAAATAATTTCTATTAAGAAAATAGTTTCTATAAATAAAATAGTTTCTATAAAGAAAATAGTTTCAATTATTAAAAAAATAGTTTCTATAAAGAAAATAGTTTCTATTAACAAAATAGTTTCTATAAAAAAATATTTTTTCATTAAAAAAAATATTTGCTATTAAAAAAATAGTTTCTGTAAATAAAATAATTTATATTAAGAAAATAGTTTCTATTAAAAAAAACAGTTTCTATTAAGAAAATAGTTTCTTTTATCAAAAAAATATCAAGAAAATAGTTTCTTTTATCAAGAAAATAGTTTCTATTAAAGAATTATTTTCTATTAAAAAAATAGTTTCTATAAAGAAAATAGTTTCTATAGGGAAAATACTTATTGTAAAGAAAATAGTTACTATTATTAAGAAAATAGTTTCTATTATTATGAAAATAGTTTCTATTAAAAAAATATTTTCTATTAAAAAAAATAGCTTATATCAAGAATATAGTTTCAATTAGGAAAATAGATTCTTAAATATAATTTTAAATTAAGTTTAAAAATTAAATTTAATATAATGTATTGACTTTTTTCCAAAAAGTGTTATTCAATAAAACCACGACTTTCTTCTTATTCTAATTTCACAAATCTATCAAAACGTGTGCGTGATAAACAGCTCCCAAACAAAGAAAGTTCTCATATCGGAAAAATAATTCTAATTCTATGTGTTTAATTATAGTCAGAATTAAAAAAAAATCATTTTAGGACATATTTAGTGCAGTTATCATCGACTTATCAAATTGGCCCCATATATCAATATAACTACCCACGTAAAGGATACCGAAATGGGTAATAAATACTATAAACTCTTAATTGTTTTATCATGATTATATTCTTTTTACGTTATAGCCGGAAATAAAAAATTTGTATTCTCTAGTAAAAAGACGTACCATAATTTAGTTGGATTGATCCTCGTTGAAACCAATGAGGTAAGTACAATTGTGCTAAGGAAAATGATTATCTAATATAATTCAGTAGAGAAGGAGAATTTTTTTAATAAGCAATTTGTGATTGTCCACTAACTTTTCTTTATGAAATTGACTATATTTTCGAATTGGTTACAAACGATATGTTACAGTTCCTTGCAATATCAAAACACTCAATGATAACATAACATCGTTTGATCCTGACAAAGTTTCATTTAAATCCACATCCTAACTCATGTATTCGTCTTGGAACTCTTTTCATGAAGTCTGTTTTACATATTCTTGCCTACAACAATTTCGATCAATGTTAATCAGACTTTTAAATTTAATTCAAAAACTAAACTATTTTTAACCTATATTCATAACCTCGAAAGCGCATATACTTTTTAGTATCTAAAGTTATTTGTGCTAAGTAATGATTCATCGATCATGATGAATAACTGAAATTATTAAAAATCCACAATTGGTTGGAATTTATTTAGATGACTTCATTTACCTAGATTTGAGAGCATTGTAACTTCAGCTTAACAGTTAAAGCTTAAATGCTCTTTTAACTATTAAAAGTACTTATTTCTGTATTTAAGTATAAACATTTTTTTAGAAAGGGTAATCACGCAAAACCAAAAGAGAACAGGTATATCGTTATATATTTTTCAGTAAAACATCGTTAATTGTGCTTTTCTCCACATTTTATTAAAACCAGTAAAATATTTACAAAAAAAGCAAACAATAACTGATAAATTTCAGATGGCTTTCCAACATACTATGACACAATAATTTTTATTATAAAATAACTTAAATAGTATTAGTTCCGGCAAAATCTTTTAGAAATAGATTGCTTAGAATTCAAGATAGAAAGTAAGAACATTAAACACAAATATTATTATTTGTGCTTTTATATGGATAAAAAAAATTTAAAATATTGTAGATAAAAGAAAAAAGTTCATTTATATTATAAATATACTCAGGTTATAATGATGATTGTATGCTTTAATACTTTTTATCTTTGAAAAATGTAGTGGTGATTTGTTTGAATAACTACAAGTAATTTTCATAGTATAAACAATTTAAAATTTTTTATCTTTTAACTAATAAAACAAAAATAAGTCGTAAGTCACAGAAGAATTTGTTTACTTTGCTGGAGATACAGACAAGTAAAAGAAAAATATCTTAAAAGCCTTAAACTATGTTGAATGCAATTTACGTGTGAAATCACGTACGAAAAAGTTAATACAAATTAAATATTTGATTTAAAAATCATAAATGAAATTTATGAGTTATACATTAAATATCTCTTGAAAAACTGTTAAAAAAAAGCTATGTGTACATTTGTTAAAAAATGTTTATATATTTTATAGCAAGTCTTGGAATTTGAGGTAATAAATCATAGAATTTTTACACTATAGAAAAAATTAAGGAATTCAAAAATAAGTAAATTTAATACAATAACAATTTTAAAACCTTTGCTTACAATTTAATTGATAGGTTATAGTTGTGCACAACAATAGTTTCCTTATTGCTTTTTTTCATTTAATTCTTCTTTAAGCTTATCTGCTATATATCCCCAATACTTTCGCCTTATATGATCGTGCTTTTTAGCTAATTCATCACACAGACCATATACTTTACGCGCTAGAACATCTCTTTCTTCGGCACATTCATTACGTAAACATTGCTCTTGATATAGATCAATTAAAAAAGAAAGCAAAAACGGTGAACGGTTGCCAGCATTGTAGAGTTCTTCACTAAATTCTATAACTTCTGGAAAATGATTCAGTTCACCAGTATCACTTTGCCTTAACACACCTATTAAATAATTCCATGCACTCTCATTGTTCTTTACTACACGAATTCGATTCATGGTATAGTGCAGTTCACGTTGGATAACATCAGTTGTAAAACCATAACTTTTTAATATGAAAAAACGTTGGTTCCAAGCGGAATTATTACGTATATCATCTGCTATCAGGCGATCAACAAAATTCAGTTCGTTTTCATAGAGACTAGAAAATATAATTAGAAAAAATATAAATTTTTAATATATTTAAATAAATAATATTTTTTATTAAATTTTTATTTGTATATTATATATTTTTCATATCTTATATATTTATTTGTATATTACATTTTTTCCGTGTCGTATATATTTATTTGTATATTATATATTTTTTTTTATTATATTTTTATTTGTATATTATGGCCGTGTGTGAGTATGAGGTAAATTGAGCTAAAGTAAACTGAAATTTCCTCAAAATTTTTGCACTGCACTTATATAAATAATTATTTATTTATTATTGCACTTATTTTTATTTTTTACTAAAAATTTTAATATTTATTTATTAAACATCTTATAAAATTTTCAAAATGGCAATACCTAATTTACCTAATTATTAGCTAATTTACCTTACTCGAAATTGTGGTAAAGTGGTAAATACCAACGTTCGCTGCCATACCGACATAACTTACTATTTCCCTCAATTTACCATCAATTAACTCGAACTCGCACACGGCCTATATATTTATTTGTATATTATATTTTTATTTATAAATCCTTACAGATTAGATTTGAAATCCTAATTTAAGCAAAATAAGGTTCCAAGAACGACCGGAGGAACCAATCATCGGGTATTTCGATGCCAAACTGCCGTTCAGCATTCCTAAAAGGAACTACATAGGCAGTTTCTTGTGGGCTACAACAACAAAAACATTTTTTTTTTTTTGTGAAACAATGGATTTTTTTTACGTTTCCGAGTTTTTGATTTTATATATAGTTAATAATTTCTACATTTAACAAGATATCTTTTTATATATATAAATATGAAAGAGAATAACTTTTTATTTCTTGATTTACTATAACTACTTACTCATATTTTTGTATGGCCCATTGACGATGCTGCCAAGCATGATAGTTTTTTGCATCAGCTTCTAATGCCATTTGTGTGACTGCTAATTCTTGGCTCGCATCATTTAGCATTTCAACAATAACACGTCGATGATGCCAAACTTGATAGTTTTTAGCATTTTCACGTATAACTTCACATATATAATCTAGTTCCTTTTTTAAATCTGATTTAAGTTCATTTAATATTTCCCGTCGATACTGCCAGACTGTGTAGTTAGACGTATTAAGCCTTAATGCATCTGATGTCAAATCTAATGCGCGTAATGACTTTTCTTGTTTAGCGAGAATTGCGCGAAAATAGTCAAATACTTCACGAACTAAATGGAAATTTTATATTAAATCTTTTCATATTTTTAAAATTAATATAACTTACATTTTGAGCTGTACGCGATTGCGACTATAGGATTCTCTCCATCATCCTGTTCTAATGGTACTACATCTGCCCAATCGTTGCGCGAACTATATGGTATCCAGTCAGATCCCAAATCTTCATCAGAACTATCACTCATGTTTTTAATTTGTTTTTATTATGAAAGAAGCTGTTGAACAAAAGTGAAAAATTTCTAGCTTCTTCTAGATAAACAATTGCTGCTTAATGTTAGCGACTGATAAAACTGAATTTATAAAGCATGGAAATGTCAACATGAACCGCGATAATAATTGTTGACTGAATGAATCAGCATGCAACTACGCTCAATAGATAACGCACTTTTCAACAATAACAATAACTTGTCAAAAACAATACGAAAAAACTCAAAAAGTATTATATTATATTAAATTAAAAACCGTAATATTTTTACATATTACTCTTTTTGCTCATTAGAACATTCCCAGCACAATTTAGACAATACATAACAATTACAATTTTCATATATATGGTGCTCGAATAAACAATACGAATGTTTGACAGCTTCATTGATATTTGAAGGTGCCAGTACACAGCAGACGTACGAGGCTTAATAGATAATAATGCTCGACGTGAAAGAACCCTTCAGAATATCACAAGATATAAACAGTGTAAAATGGCTAGTCATAAATTATGTCCAATAAATATGCTAAATAACATATTCATATACATATTTATTTAATATATAATTAAAATAATTTCATTAAAAGAATTTATATTTTGTGCTAAATTTTTTTTTTATTTTTTTTATATCTTTTTTTATTTATTTTTTTTTCTTTAATAAATTTTTATATAGAAAGAATCAAAAAGTGTGCCCGCCGTGGAGTTTAATTTAGCATTTGTATATATTGTTTGTTTGTATGTAAATTATATACATTTAAATTAAATTATATTTTTGTCACATTTTTGTATACAATTTCTTTATCAAAATATTTTTCTTTTCTTTTTTAATACTTAGTTTACTTTAGAAAGAAGCCAAAAGTGCGTTTGCAGCCGCTTTTATTTTAGCATATTTTCCAGTTTTGGGAGCATTCGCAAACTGACGTATTTTATTAATGAGAAAATCAGTTGAAATTACAACAGTCAATATTTCCTGACCGATTGGTGTTGTTATTAAATTTCCAATCGCTTGTATACCTCGATAACAGGCCTCCAAGTCTGTAGCCCATTTAAAAAACTCAATTAGCCCTTCGTTAATAAATTGACATTGCTCATTTTTGGCCAATCCATTCGTTTGTGTTACGGTTAAATTTAAATAAAAGGTAGAAATAGCAATTTGCAAATTTGAACTTCCACTCTTAATCTCTTTAATACGCGATAGCAATGTATATAAATGATGTTTAATTTGCTGACGTCCACTTTCATGACACATCATATTTGCCAAACACCGAAGGATCATTAATTGATTTGGTGCATACGATTTTAAATATGGCAGTATCTTACCATTAAATTATCACCCTCTTGTTTACCATTTGACAATAAAGCTTCGGGTCCTGGAAGTCTAAAGCATCATATTAAAATATGATATATAAAATTAACTTTTAGCTTACTCAGGTTTTTTAACTCCACCTACTGTTTCATTAATTTCTGCTTTTCTGATACTAACAGCAGCGTCAAAAGCTTTGAGTACATCTTCACTGGCATAGTTTTTAGGATCTTTAGTGAAAACTCGTACCACACCATCACTGCAACCAGTTATAATATCGCCATTACTCAAACAAGCCACTGACCATACCGACTCGGCCGGATGCACAATAGGTGAGCCCAATTCCGTGCCAGATTTAATATCGCACATGCGCAAACTACTATCTGCCCCGGATGACACAATAATATTACTTCCTGAAACTGAATGTTGTTCTATATAATTTATTGAATTTCTGTGACCAAATAACTCTTTAACACAGTCACCATCTTCGTTCCATACTCGTATAACGGAATCGTCACCGCCTGACACAAAGAGTTTTTTATCGAAAGAAATAAGTTGACGAATGCAGCCAGTATGTCCAAATATAAGGCGCTCGTTCTCACCTCTCTTATTCCAAATAATAATAGTTTTATCTGCAGAACCAGTTAAGGAACGTCCAATATGCGGAAGGGCAGCTACTGCCCAAACCGCTGCGTTGTGTCCTTTTAACTCGATAAATTTAGCTGCATAATGATAATTTATTTTCCAAATTCGAGCTGTACTATCCGAACAACCCGTTATAAAACTTCGAGTTTTAACACCACTAGATATTGCACATACATTTCCCTTAAGTCCTTTAATTTTTAAAACAGGAAGATAAGTATCTTCATTGTAAATGTATATGTATCCCCCGCAATTACCAGTGCATATACAATTGTTATATTTTATAAAATGCATGCAACTAATGTTATTTTTTTGCTCTTGAAAAATGAGTAAATTATGACATACATTCCTATTACACATAAATTGCAAAAATTAAGTGAAATTGTGATTCATCTATAAGGAGAAATATGACTTACCTACGAACCTTCCAAAACTTTATCTCTCGAACCTAATATTAACACTGTATCGTGATAATATTCTCCAATAAATTTAATGCAGAATGCATCCACAACTCCACATTTTTCATAACTTAACTTGTAGTCGTCTAGTGACGAAATAGGCGTTTCCATCTCAGACGTGTGTTGTTTGAAATTCAAATGGTTGTGCCGTGTTTCGCGCTTGGCAACTAAAAGCAAAGATCATCTTTGGAATGTAATAGAACGGTGTTCTTTGATTAAATGGGGTTGCTGTCTAAAAAAGTTATTAATGCAGCAATGAGCCATACAAATTGTTCTAATAAGATTTAATACTTTTCAATTTAACGTTTTTTTAACGATTCATATTATAAATGCCAATACGAAATAATAATTTGTTCACAATCACAATTTTTAAATCTTATTTATAAACATAACATTTTGTGTACGAAATAATTTGTTGCACATCTTTAAGTTAATAGCGATAATGTAAACTGTACTTTGTAATTAGCCATGTTTATTTTATCTCTAGTATCATTTCATTTACGTGATGGCAGGTTCATATTACGTTCAAAAAATGTATGAACATTTTTATCACTACAGCAACCCTACATTTGACAGATAAATTATTTTTTTGTTTTTTTTTATAACAGAATAAACAAACTGAAAAAAATTTACAGGGATGGATATTCTAGCACTTTCTAGTGATATAGATAACAAGAAAATTGGTGACGTTATTGTGCATCAGCAACCAATACCAGACGATAATAGTTATAATCAATAGCAAATCAACACTAATAGACAGTATGAATTGCGGGGTGATAACCAAATTAATATATGATCTGCAGCAGCGCAGGAGTTGTGGACAAAAGTGATCATCGAAGTTCGGAGGCAGCAAGTTCTACATTCCAGAGCCAACGCCGCTTTCATCTTACTATTGCGGTATAGTAAGATGATATTAATATGGGAAAAAGGAATTTATTTCCAAAACAAAATGATTGTCTTTCGAACCTTATGAACTAAATATTGTTTGAGCAACTATGCAGATCGGCCATCAGCTATAAAATAAACCGCGACAACGAAAGAACTGTTCTCAGATTTAGGCAATAAAACAACAGAACAGGTTGTTGAATTAAATTATTTTTTTTACTTATGTTTTTCTTATTTTCATATATTAAATACAATGGCAAATAAAACTTTGCCAACAAGCATAACAATACCTGGCTTTGCACTTAATATCCCAGAAAAATTTTGAAAATAAAATTTATTGCAACGAAAAATATTTTTTATGTTCTGTATAGACTTATAATATTCAAAATGTTTGTTTCAAAAACAATACAAAAAGTACAAAAATCCACTGATAAATAAATTTGTATTATTAACAAGTTTATATAAAATTATTACAAAATTCAAGAATATACTATTTAAATTTTTTTCTTATATGTTGTTCACTTAGAAAGAAGCCAAAAGTGCGCTCGCAGCTGAGTGTATTTTAGCATATTCTCCTGTTTTGGGAGCATTGGCAAACTCGCGTATTTTATCAGTGAGAAAATCGGTTGAAATTACAACAGCTACTATTTGTTGACCAATTGGTGTTGTTATTAAATTTCCAATCGCTTGTATACCTCGATAACAGGCCTCCAAGTCTGTAGCCCATTTAAAAAACTCAATTAGCCCTTCGTTAATAAATTGACATTGCTCATTTTTGGCCAATCCATTCGTTTGTGTTACGGTTAAATTTAAATAAAAGGTAGAAATAGCAATTTGCAAATTTGAACTTCCACTCTTTATCTCTTTAATACGCGATAGCAATGTATATAAATGATGTTCAATTTGCTGACGTCCACTTTTATGACACATCATATTTGCCAAACACCGAAGGATCATTAATTGATTTGGTGCAGACGATTTTAGATATGGCAGTATCTTATCCAGGAAACCATAGTCGTTTAGAATTGCAAATATTCTTTCATCTTGCACAGCCAAACGTGTTAAATCTAGCACAGGAAATATTTTATCTGAAATTGTTTTAAATAGTGAACAATAAATCAGTCTGAGTAGAAATAAATATTTGATAATATATACAGTTTATAGCTAAACTGTAACAGTAACTTCTGAAGAAAGTATACCATTATAATATTAAAAACAATTGAACTATTAAATTATTTACAAGTAGTGAAGTTGGCAAATTATTTATCCAAAAGATATATGACATGTTACTATTTTACTATTTATTTCTTACTTGCAAATGTGTCTTACCAGTTGGCCATTGCAGCAATATGTTTAGCGCTTCGATAACGTTCTGATCCGTTTCCTTAGGACTTTCCGCTATTAAATTAACAGACTCCAAAATTGTTTCTGACACCTTATGTTCTGTTGGCAAACTACTATTAAATTCTCTGAAATATTTAAAAAGTTTAGTTAAAAATAACTTTAACAATTCTTTAAACTTAAAAGCAATCCATGCAAAAGTGTACCTAATTATTTTATAAACCATTAAAAAAAATATTTCAAAGGGAACAAGCAACTTAATAAAACTAAACATAAAGTTTGTAATGACCGTAGTATGAATAAAGAAGCTCCATAGTGTAATAACCCACACAAAACATTAACCCAGCCGCTCTTCAAACTATTTACTTACAACTCAACTTATAAAAGGATTGATAAAAGGATTGGATTGAAAGGATTGAACCGTCTGCAACTGCTATACGTTCTATATAATCACTAAACTCAGAGTTGTGGCGTCTTCCAATGATTGTACAGTAGTAGTATATAAGAATCCAATTGGTCTGCCTTTACTTCCAGGATTAATTAGGAAGAGGATTTGGATATTATTCGACATGTACGTGCTTAGAAAGAACTTTGAATGCATAATATAAAATAAATTTCTGAATACGATGAATCTTCTCAACACTTTGACTGATATCTACAATATTATACAGTATTATTATTAATAATTCATTTTACTTACTTTAATTTTTGTAGTACTTTTTTTGGTTCGCACTTATTTAGAGAAATATATTGACTAATAGGAAAATGTTTTTCAGCATCTAAAATGAATATCCCTTAGACTTACGCAACATAAAACATTTAAAAATATTTACTGTTTTTGTTTGATGCATTTGTAGTCGAGTAACTAGAAGCGCCAGTAAAGGGATCAACATTTCCACCGGATTGCAAGTTAGCATTACTTGAACCTGGGACGTAACGTGAGCCACCAGTAAATGGATCTTGAAACCCACTAAAAATTAAAATTATACATTTCTATAAAAAGTCAAACTGTTTTAACATTAATTACCTTGACCCACTTTGTGTAGCGTTACTCCCTGAGTTTGTAATTATAAAGTTTGCTACTTGGTCCAAATATGCTTGTGGTAAATTGTGACGATGTATAAAACTTTGTGCAGAGACCCATGGATCATCTCCACGATTATAAGGTAATTTTATTTCTGGTTGTGTATCTGATATATCAACAGAAAAAACAAAGTCATACTCCTATCAAAATAAACATATTCAAAAAACTTTAAAGATTATTAATAGCGACTCATACCTTTCCTTCATGCAATACTTTCCCAGATGTATTCTGGCTTCCACCAGACGCACCCATCACATCGCCGACTAGTTTCCAAGTACCAAGCTCCCACTTGTAACATTTGACTGATCCATCAGGATGACGTACCATTAAATTATCACCCTCTTGTTTACCATTTGACAATAAAGCTTCGGGTCCTGGAAGTCTAAAGCATCATATTAAAATATGATATAAAAAATTAAACTTTTAGCTTACTCAGATTTCTTAACTCCACCTACTGTTTCATTAATTTCTGCTTTTCTGATATTAACTGCTGCATCAAAAGCTTTGAGTACATCTTCACTGGCATATCTTTTAGGATCTTTAGTGAAAACTCGTACCACACCATCACTGCAACCAGTTATAATATCGCCATTACTCAAACAAGCCACTGACCATACCGACTCGGCCGGATGCAGAATAGGTGAACCCAATTCAGTGCCAGATTTAATATCCCACATGCGTAAACTACTATCTTCCCCTGATGACACAACAATATTACCTCCAATAGCTGTATTTTGTGCTACCGAATATATATAATTTGTGTGACCAAATAACTCTTTAACACAGTCACCATCTTCGTTCCATACTCGTATAACAGAATCATTGCCGGCTGATACAATGAAATGGTTCGGCAAAGAAATAAGTCCACGAATGCAGTCGGTATGGCCAGTAAGCATGCGTAGTTTTTCACCTTTATTGTTCCAAGTTAATATGGTTTTATCTGCAGAGCCAGTTAAGAAACGATTAATGTTTGGTAAGGCAATAACTGCCCATACTGCTGCCTTGTGTCCTATTAACTCGATAAATGTAACTCCACCCAGTTGATCAATTTTCCATATTCTAGCTGTATTATCCCAACTGCCCGTTATAAGACTTTGGGCTTCAACACCACTAGATATTGCACACACATTTCCCTTATGTCCCTTAAGTGTTATAATAGGAACATAACTATCTTCTTTATATATACAAATTGTGCCATCATTACTACCAGTGCATATCCACTTGTCCTCCCTAAGGTAATGCACACAACTGACATAACTTTTATGATCTTGAAAAGTGACCATCTCAGTGTAACCGTGCCTATTATATGTACATTAATTATAATTAAATCAAATTATAACCAAACAATAATCAGACTTAAACCTACTCTTCATGCTTCCATAACTTAGTTGTTTTATCTCGGGAACCTGATATTATAATTTGACCGGTTGGTCTGTCTTCTGTAACGGCAACAGAACGAACATCCATACTATGTCCATGGAGTTCGCAACTTAACTTGTAGTCATCTAATGACGCTGTAGCCATTTTTAAAAACCTCACTTGTCCTAACAATAACGCGGTTTGTATAAATAATTTACTTTTTTGTTTAAAATTAAATTAAAAATATATTTTTAAACTATAAAATTGCCGCTCTTCTACAAGAAAAATTTATAAGTTTGTCTACATCTGTCGCAACCGAGTCAAAAACGATGAGTTTGAAGTTTCGCAATTGGGTTGTAGCGCAAAAAAAGCTTTCAAAACTGTATTAATTTTGCAATGTATTTTTTCTCATAGTACGTTTGGTAATTAATCGAATTTTTGAATAAATATTTTCCCAATAAGTTATGATAACATATAACAATTGTTTTACAATTGTCTTTAAACTTTATGATTACGTTACAATGATGCTAACGCAAATGCTATTTACTTTTAAAAGGTAAGGAATTTTCAAAAAAAATTTAGAACATAACCGAAATAAAAGCAATTTACATTTTCTTTTATAATTAAAATAATGTATTGCCGTAAGTCTTTGTAAGTCTTTTAAATAAAAATGTTTGTAAAAAGACATGTTTTTGGAGATAATTTAGTAAATTTTCTTAGCTCACTGCAGTTTTCAAAAATATAAGCAACAATATTATAGTATATTTACACTATCTCAATTAGGAACTTACTAATTTATATTAATAAATGAACGTTCACATTATAACGAGTTCATTTCGCAGCTGATAGAATTTTTATAAGCTTTTATAAACTTCACTTAATACTATATCACACAGAAAAAAGTTAAATATATGATTGATATATTAAATTATTTATATACATTTTATATATCAATTATATATTCAATTGATAAAAGCTAAGATTTTATTAAATACTTACTTCCTCAGTGTCTTTGTTCACAGTTCAGTTGTTGTTTGTTAACATATAAAACATATAACACATATTTCAAATTGTGATCATTTCCCCTGTAGAAAATTTATTTTTAATGTACCTGTCTTCGACAATTTACGCCTTAAATGAGCTGATTTATTGATAATGAGCTCATTTATATAAAAGCACTTTGTATGGTAAATCATCCTCATTAGTGGCTATAATGAGTAAAACCGGCAATGTGAATGTGTTGCTACTAGACTTTTAAGTAAAATTCAATTGTTTTGTTTATAATAATTTGAATCTTAAATATACATATATAAAAAAATGGTATGCAAATATTCGCACCGTCCAAGAGGATAGACAGAATTAAAATATTTTATAAATGAACTTATATCTTCTTATGAGTCATAAAATAAATAACAATTGTGAAGAATTTTAAAGTATTATCTTAAACAAAATTTCATGATTTAAAGTGCTCAAGGATTTAAAGTTGGTACTATCTTTCACTCATTCAATTATCCAAATTAAATAAAATAAGTAAAAAATAAAACTATTACATAAAACAATCGCTTTCGATTGTAAAAAAAAATGTTAGATTATTAATTCTAGTTTGTTTATACAATTTAATACAAAAGCTTTTAGAGTGCAAATAAAGTTACGTTAAAGCATAGGTATTTTTAGAACATATTATCGTTAAATAAATATCGAAGCTGAATTCAAAGCGTATTCAAAGCTGCTCCTGTTATATATTTTAATATATTCACTACTTATATATAATTTAACATATCATATTTTTTATACATTTTATATTTTTTATAAATTAGATATGTTTTAAAATATTTTTTCTTAATTAACAAGAATTAAACATTTTTACTTTTTTAATTAGTTTTCGGAAACTTTTACAGTTGCAAATTTATTTTTCCCACAAACTTCTGAACGTACTAAATACTAAAGGTTAATTTAAATCGCAATAGCAACCCTGGACTTAGCGTATAATTTTTTTTGCGTTATTTACAATATACATTAAATAAATTGAAAAACTTATCTAAAATGGGTGCTCCGGAACTTCCTAACGATATAGGTGATGAGAAAATAAGTGACTATATTGTGCATCAACAGCCTATACCAAACGAAGATAGTGATAATGAAGACCAAATGAACACTTACGAAGGCTATGAATTGTTAGATGACAACGACACTAATATGGGTAGAAATGTCAGTGTTATGGATGATGATGATGATGATGAATGTGTTGAAGACAGTAATATGGAAACGAATTCATTAGATGCCGAAACAGAGCGATTGTCTAACGATCCTAATTTGCCAAATATTGAAGCCGCCAGTATACAAATTGCTCGCCAGCTATGGAGTGAACCACGGCCAAAAGAACTGCAATTAGAGTTAGACAATAAGACAACAGAACAGGTAAGAGTGGATTAAACAATACTGGCATTTAACTTATTTTTTATATATTTACAGATATTAAATGTCATGGCAAATATAACCTTGCCATCAAACATAACAATACCTGACTGGGCGACTAATATACCAGAAGAACGTTGGAAACAGGATTTATTACAACGTATTAGGCAACGTAAAGAAGAACCAGCTAATACTAATGATATGCAAAAGAAGCTCAGTTAAAGTGTTTCTTTTTTACGTAGATAATGACAATATTATTATTATTATTTCCCTTGTTAGTGTCGCCGTTTTTTATAAGAGCTTAAGACGGAAATGACGATATTAAATATATAAAATTATAATAAAAAACAATATGAAAAATAAGTTAAATATATAAAATATAGCACATAATACATAATATATGAACCATACTAACTAATGTTTATTTAAATTTAATATATTGCTTAATAAACATATTTAAATTATTGAATTAAATATGTTTGTGTTTTAAAGTATTGTTTAATACATAAATTATTTGATTGTATGAATCATTAGAAAGAAATTATATTAACAGAAAAAGAAGTGGAGTAAAAATTAATTGCAACCGAGTTATTTACTATACATTGTGACCGAAAAGTTTTCGGAAATTCTCATTTAAAATTCGCGCGCTGTATATTTTTCGATATTTTAAGTTTATGTAGTTTGGCAGCACTGTCCTAAATTACTATGCCAAAAATGAGCGCGATCTGTCAGACAGTTTCGTTTACGGCAGCTGTTGAAAACCAGTTCACCTCAGTAGTGCGTTGCGAAAAAAACAATGGAAAAAAATATTGATCAAAGAGTTTGCATCAAATTTTGTGTTTCGAACGAATTTTCGTGTGCAGAATCGTTGCGAATGCTACAAAAGGCTTATGGGGAATCAGTTTTATCGAAAACTCAAGTTTATGAGTGGTACAAAGCCTTTCAGGACTGTCGTACGACCGTCGAAGACATGCCGCGTTCTGGACGACCTTCGACCTCTACCACCGACGAAAACATTGAAAAGGCAAAGGAAATCGTGTTCAAAAATCCTCATGTGAGTGTTAGAGAGATAGCACGAGAGCTAGGCATCGGTCGTGAGATGGCTCGTTTGATTTTGGTGGACAATTTGTGTATGCGACGTGTCAACGCTCGGCTTTTTCCGATTCACCTCAATTTGTTCCAAAAACACCATCGTGGACAGGTCTCGTTAGACATGCTTGATCGTGCCAATTCCGATCCAACTTTCATGGAACGCATCATAACGGGTGACGAGACATGGGTCTACGAGTACGACATGCAAACAAGCCAACAATCATCGGAATGGAGAGGAAAAGACGAGCCGAAACCGAAAAAACCACGCCAAAGTCGCTCGAAAATCAAGGCAATGCTGATTGTTTTCTTCGATATTCGTGGTGTGGTGCATCATGAATTCGTCCCTGAAGGACAAACAGTCAATAAAGCCTATTATTTGACTGTTTTAAGACGTTTGCGTGAAAATATCCGCCGTAAACGGCCTCAATTGTGGAAGGATAATTCATGGATTTTTCATGACGATAATGCTCCCTCGCACCGAGCCAACATTATCAACGATTTTAAGGCCAAACATTCAATAAATACCATCGAACAGCCCCCGTATTCACCTGATCTTGCACCGTGTGACTTTTTCCTGTTTCCCAAACTCAAATTACCACTCAGAGGAACGCGTTTTGAATCCATAGAAGACGTAAAACAGAATTCGCAGAGGAAACTCAAAGCCATACCGGAAAGCGCCTATAAAAAATGTTTTGATGATTGGAAGAAACGTTGGCATTTGTGTATCGCTTCTAATGGAGCATATTTTGAAGGAGATAAAATAAATATTGATGAAGATTAAGAATTTTGCGTTTTATTTAAAATTTCCGGAAACTTTTCGGTCACAATGTATATTCCCCGCTATGCTAAATTTACTATTTCTTGAAGACTATAACTTTAAAACCTTTTTGCATAGGTCGTCGTTTATTATACGCCAAGCTTTAAGATTGACTGACCTATTCATTTGATATATTTAAGTGTTTAAATTTATTGCTGCAATGATAAGTTGTATATTTGGCTTTGTCGATCTGGTGTATTTGATTTGGTTTAGCAAGAAGTCCAATCGCTTATCGATTCGTTATGATCGTTCTGGTTCTTATAGCTTTAACATGTTAGCCAAACTACGTATATTTGTACATTGATTTGTTTGTCAAGTGTATATTCGGTTAAAAAATATTCTACTTAATTAATATAGTCAACATTTTATTTAATACAATGTTATCAAAGGAAATTTGGTTTAAAACGACTTAGAAATTTGACTAGCATTAAGACACATATCGTTTATGATTTTATAAATTCAAGTCAAGTATTAAATTAACTATGATTCCAAAACTTGGTCAACATTTCTAAGTGATATAACAATTTTTTTGAATTAGTACTCTATTTGAAATTATCATAATCATAAGTATTTTCAAAACAACAGCTCTATGTAATTTAAAATTTTTAATATATACATAATTGTATATGTAGGACGTTTCATGAGTATTAATAAATAAATTTACAAAAGGTTAACGTTATTATCAAAAAAATAAATATACATATATTTATTTTTTTGGTTATTATATACTTATAATATACACGTTTACAATGCCGCAAGTTACTCACAGATATATCTGAAAATATATATACAAAAATATATATGTATGTATCTGGAAAAGGTAAACGTTACCGAAATATATTTCTAGGTTTTGGTTATAATATATTTAGCTGTACATAGAGAGTACCGTTGCAATTAATTTAACAAATGTGCAGCAATAAGTACAGTTTTTTATACAAAACCATATAAAAATGCGTTTATTAGATTTTATTACATAGTAAGTGTAAACATAATATTTGACATTAATAAAGTTATTAATTTATATAATCTTTCACATACATATATTCACGACGATTTCAATTTAAATCCCATCCATCCTCCAATCCTTTTTTACTCCTAATTAATCCCCTCCCCTATCACACAACCAACACCTGTCCACTTCCCAAACCAAGTATTCGTCTTGTAATTCCTTTCATGTTTAAACAATTTTATATATAACATATCCATGCAGGCTACAACGCGAACATCTTTCATATTTTATAAATCCATAAAGTATATCACATTAATTAATTAATTTCTAAGTGGAATAGATGTTTTTTAACTACAACTTAAATTACTCCACACTCATTTTTTTAATATAAAACATTTTTTTAATATAAAATTTCAAATTAGTGTGAAATTTTTAATATGAAAAATTATCATTTTAATAGCTAAAACTATTTTTATCTGCCTTCATTAAGTAATTTATAACAAAAAGTTTGAAAAGTGTGAATTATATTTTACATAGTATTAAAATAGTGCCTAAAAATTAATTCAACTTATAAGTCATAAGAAATATGTTCAAACTGGATTTATTTTTTCATTTTTGTTTCTTGATATGATTTATGATTAATATGAGTTAACACTAAAGATAAGAAAATGTTGCCGTCTTATCTTTACAATCTTCATACCAACCAAAGTACCAACATTACACAAGATTAAAACATGTACAAAATTATATTTTTATTTTTTATATTATTTATTAAATTAAATAAATATACAACTTTATATATACGTATATGTATTACAAAATATTTTCAATGGTTAAACAAACAATTTTTAATTCGAACATCGTATCCAACTAAATAATTTATTAATTTAACATTTTATATGACTTATAATTATAAATGTGTTAAAGCTTTTCTTTGCTCGCTTTAATGTTTGCAGGTAGTTGGTTTTCGATATTGAAAATATATCTTAACTATAAAAAGTAACACAAACCTTACCATTAAGACCATATTTAAATATATGTATATTAATACAAAAATGACTTGTTCAATGTTTCGTTTTTAGTTTTCATTTTAGGTTAACATAGGGTTAATTTACGTTGAAATGAGTGAATAAACCATGCTGAAAAATAATATTAATATTTAATATTTAACATAAATTATATTACATATTTAAACAGCATACCCATATATATAATAGAAAAATGATATCAAGTAAATTGCCAACTTAATCCAGCCTTCACGCATATTTTTTGATAAATTATCTGTTGATAATATCGTTGTTGGATCATACAAACCAGGTCCTGTCATAACCGGACGATTTTTGTAGCTATTAAACAATAAAAATTAATATTTTACAATATGATAAATGTTTAGAACTTATCAGAAATTACATAGAATAAGCAGTATATATCTATTGCAATTGCTACCCAATATTATAAATTTATTTTGCCTTATTATATGAAAAGTTAATTAATAAAAATGATTATGAACTATAACTAATTTTAATGAACAATTGATATTGATATTGATATTGAAACTAAACTAACTGACTATAACTAATTTTAATGACAATTGATATTGATACTAAACTAAACTAAATTCATTAATATTTCTTACCGCCAAACGTGATATGCTATAAGCGGTATATTAATGCACAGTGATATCCATTCACCACAAAATAGAAACAGTATATTAAGAAATATATGTAGTATGTACTCCGGTAGCACCAGCTGCAATAATTGAATTATTTTTTATTTTGATAAATTTTACTTTTAAAATGCTTACCGGATTAAGGCTGTTACATTGATCAATTGGATTTCTGTAGTCTGTTTTCAGCTCATCAAATGCAATCACATGAAAAATCGCAAAAAATATCAGAAATGCATCGCCGATGAGCGCAACGATATATGTAAAGGCGGTGAAGTTGAATGCCATGTTATGATTAATAATGCTAAAAAATTATGCAATTATATTAAACTAATATGCACCATCATTAATCAATATAAATTACTCCACTAATATTTAATCATAAGTACAGAAATAAAGATGGAGTTAAGTTCCTACCTAAATTACACTAAATAAATTTTTTTTATATATTTTTTTCAGAATGAATGAGTGTGCACCTGAATGTATTTTTTGTCTACTACATATTTCCTACTACTTTTTTCAACATTCTTCATTGCACTATTGATACATAAATACCACATAAACTTGTTTTATTTATCGTCACATTTAAATGCAAATAATATTTGCAAAATCTTAACACAGTTTTGAATTGTCTAATATTATATATTACTATAATTTGGGTAATTGTATCAAAAGTATATGACAGTTTTAATTCAATAACAGTCGATTGCTAAAATCTGTAAAACCGAAAGTACAACAATAATAGTATTTCTTTGTATAATAAGTCTGTTCCACGAGCCTGTTCGTGATAATACGGCGTTTACATTGTGTGATTAAAAGTAGATTAAAACAAAAATCGTGATTAAAGTAGTAAGCTCGTTGTTAATTTCAGATTTACCATACAAAAGTTAATCTCCTTTTCGTCGAGATTAGTTTTAAATCTCCTTCAAAATGGTGATTATTTCTCTATGCAACTCTGCAAATGGCTTAATATCTTATATTTTTTACGATCTTAAAGAGATGTGTCAAAATCTATTTAAAACAAGCACTGAAAATTTAAAAATTCCGAAGTGAGTGAAATATCTATTAAATTTGTTTAATAATAGTTTTATACATAATTATAACTAAAATTGTTTAAATTATTGTTATAAAACTATTTATTTAATACATATTATAATTTTTTTATATAAAATTGTAATTAAATGGTTTATTTACAGATATTCATCAAACGCACGAACCAAAACACAACAAGAGGAACGTAAAAATTAATCTCCAATATATAATGTAAACCGTGGAGATTAAAAATGAAGATTAACTTAATCTCGTTCTTTTAATCTCACACTGTAAACGTAATATAAAACTGAAGTAAAACACAAGTGAGTACATTGTAAGAGCGCAACACAAATAAAGTGCCAAATTACGCTCTTTACATGGATTTTCATAGAATAGGTTTGTGTAAAATCTGGTGAGAACACAAGTGCTGCGCAAATAAACGATACAAAAATTTAAATTCAAACCAAAACAGCTGATTCACAAATCACACAAATTTTACTTGAAGTAAAATGTATGAGTAAAGTCTGTTTAGCATTTTCAACATCTTGGCAAAACATCTATAGTATAAATTAATCCCGAATGTTATACATTTTGCTCCAGATTTATCAATCGAAAATAAAATTGCACTAAAAGTGCATTAAAAGCACATCTCATTAGATCAAAAACAACGTAAAAAAATATAGATTACTCTAAAAGTGTTCGATTGGACAGCAAAATTTCACAGATCGAGAGTAAGTCTAAATTGAATCTAGATTTATCAATTGAAAACGCCATAACTAAAAAGTTAAAAAAAAACGTTTGAATGAATAGAAAATTAGTATGCACTAGGGTTAAATTCTAAATAAATTGTTGTTTAAAATATGCACATTTAGGAGAATAGTTTTGAAAGAATAATTAAGATTTTTTTATTGATTTTTTATATATAGCAATATAACACTTCATGAGATACATGTTATGTCTAAAGCATGATATAGACGTTGCTACATGTATGCATATCAAGTATGCCGTCCTACCAAATACACTATGTATATTCACGTATGCATATCAATTTTCAGTTTGCAGATATGTATACGATAAAATTACACCTTCCTTCAAAGTATATAGCAAAACGCAGACTTGTTCTGTATACTTGGTGTTCAAACATATAGCATCGTTTATATCATGCTTAAGACAAGGTTACAATTATTTTTGTAACAAATTTTAAAATCAGTTTTTGAAGTGTTTCTATGCAAAAATGAAAGTACTTTACAGATGTTCATGCAATGTGTGAAAGTGATGTTTTTGACTAAAGATGATATAAAAATAGCTGTTTCTAATCGATATAAGTAACCATGTAATCGATATAAGAAGCTTTGAAACATTTTTTTTAAATTATTGCATAAAAAAAATTTACTTAAATTTAAACAAAATACAACCGTGTGCCCAAAATAATTGTACAAACCAAAAGATTATTTAAATTACGAAATGTTGTTCATTTTGAATTGTGTTTTTTATATGAACTACGTATTTTTATAGTTTAGTAAAAGAATTTGTAATTAAAGTATTATTTAAATAAACGTTATAATATCAAGCATATATATCAAATATGAGCGGTACAAATTTTGGAATATATCGACCACCGGCTTCAGCAAAAGTAAACGCTCCTAACAATAGTATTACTGGCGGTGATGAAACAGATGTCGATTTTGACGAAAAACTAAGGGCAACACCAGTATCTAAATTAATTCCCAATGATGATGATGTAACTACGGATGATCTTAAAAAAGAACAAGTAAAATTGCAAGATGTTGCGCTAACTTTAGGGGAATATACTCCAACTTTGCCAGATTCTATTACGAATTACTATTTGCACACTGCCGGTCTCAATAATATTGACGTCCGCGTTACGCGACTGGCTTCAGTAGCTGCATTGAAACATGTTGCTGATATCGTGGAGTTGATAGTTACCGAAGCTGAAAATAAGGTACTTTTGCATATTTGGCGTAAAGTTATTAATAAATTAATTACAAGAAACGTTATTTGGTTTCAGCAAACTGATGAGCAAAAAGTAACTAAAGTGTCAATGGATTTACTTAAATCTGCTCTTGAACATTTTGGAATAACACCTTTGCATACGCTAAACAACAGTGGTCCAATTTGAAAAAAAATTTAAAGTTTCATCACCTATTCTCCACTTCTAACATTGATGCCGTCATCCATTTTCATTCTAAAATTTTTTGTTGATAAGTTGCCAAAACCGAAAATAAGATACTTTTGTAGAAAGTAAATTAGCTAATAATTAGTTAATTATAATAAACGTTTTTCGTTTATATATTAATAGTAATTGATTTATTATGTTGAGGCTAGTTGAGTCAGTGCACCTGAGCACTTTTACTCTCTATTAACTGCGAGGTTTCTTCAAAACCCCTCTTTGCGCCTTGACTGGATTATTGTTAATCACTTCATCAGACTAAGCAATAATTGACCTCAGATCTGTATAGCTCCCCGAGGAGCCTGATTTAGTTAAACGTGATCTTGAATATTTTAGAATAACAGATCTGCACCATTTAAAGTGTAAGTATGTAATTTGTGTAAGGAATTACATATTTTGTGTATATAAAATGGAAAACCAACAAAGATCTTTTATTCAATAGCTCAAACAAGTCTCATATTACAAAAATATACATACGTTAATCGTAAAATCGTTAATTTATAATGGCACAAAGAAAATGATTAGTTTTAGTTAATATTAGTTTTATTAATCTGACACCGCATTTTGTTACAAATTATAATAGATTAAGTTTTTAATTCCCGATATCTTAATATATCAATAAATAAAACATTACGAAAATGTAAATAGTAACAAAACAAGTTGTATTTCAATTTAAAAAGATTAAAGCAAGTTTATGCAAAAGTCGGTCCATTAAATGTGTTGGATAGTTGGGACTAAAGATCGGTGGTTTCCAAATGTCGTGTGGTAACAAAGTGTCAACAAATATAGTTTGACATTTCGGTGAAAAATAAATGCATAAATGCCTTATTATTATCATTTTAATGCTTTACAATAGTTAAAAACTTAATATAACTTAAATATTTATATACAGTTAAACTTAATATTCTTTTAAGAAATCCTAATTGTATTGTGTTTACAGTACATAACACAGATAGCATTTAACAACGCGGAAGAGCAAAAAATATCATCGCGCAGTTATTGTAAACACTTGCGGACGAGCTTGGGAAATCATTGCGGAAGTGTTTTGGCTGTAGTATTTGTAACCTCAGCCGCAAGTCGCGAGAAACCATCATCCGCGAGTAGACGATTGTTGGTGCGGGCTTTTAATACTGTTTATTTATAAATTTGTTTTGTTACTTACTTTTTGTTTTGTATGCTTTTTTACATATTTGAAACCTGTATTTAAGCTTTAGAAATTATTGTATTTATTCATGTTTTCAATTATTTCATTTAAGTAATATAATTTAATAATATAATATGTAGTAATAATCAAAACTATAATGTAATATATATATAATGATTAATAGTAATAGTTATTAGATAATTAATAATAATAGTAATTATAATAATACTAGTAATAATAATAGAAAATGTAATAGTAAATGTAAATTCATTTATGTGATAATATGAAAAATGAAAATAATAAATTAATTCACTTAAACAATAAATAATGTGATGAAGAATATTATAATTTATGTGTCATTGCTGAATTTTTTCAAACGTTTTTGAATTCGGCAATTTGTGTGCACGAAATGCTGTTGCAGGATGTAATTTAACTGTTTTTCGTCTGCTGCTGGAAATTTTTGCTTACTCATATCTAAAAATATAACCATACATATAGTTTATTTGAAACGAACAGCAGAATTTGTAAAAACCTTTTATTATTTTGATAAGCATGTGATGTTGAATGCTCTTTTTCGTTGCTGAACCTCTCCACGAAAAATGTATGGCAATATCATCTCCAATAACATTTCGTATTGCACGCCTTAAAAAATATGGAAGGTCATCCGCACCCAAATTAGAAAATGATAGTTTCTGTAAATGCAAATAAAAGAAATTATAATTAATTAATTTAGTTCTATATAAAATATTTAAAATAAAAAGCTTCTTACCAATGCTTCCCTCATTTTTTCATTGCTGTGCAGATTCTCTTCAAAGTCATGAAAATCCTCTAATGTTTCTAAAGGAAATTTGGGTAAAATGTCCAATTTAGTAGTTGTTTGAATATGTGACTGCCGGAGTAAACGTATCTCAGCGCGAAGAGAAATAATTTCTTCAGTTAATCTAAAGATTAATTTAGAATATTTCTCGTCGCGCTGAGCTTGTGCCCTATCACGCTCTTCAAGAACTTTCAATAAATTTGAAAGACTTGGAGCAGGTTCTGTAACAACACTTAAGTTAGTTTATACAAACATGTAAAAAATTCAAAATTTACCTATTATGTCTGAACTATCCTGATTAATTGGGAACTCAAATAACTCTTTGATTGTTTGTGTATTGTATGGAATATCACTAAGAACATTGTCCACATTTATATTTTCAAAAGCTTCGGTATTGGTGGCTTCTATTTTTTCCTTCTTAGGTTGCTTATTGCAAATGCTACTACTGATCAACTTATCAGCTTGCCGCTTACTTTTGGTTTTAAGTGATTTAGCCGACATCCTGATATATTATTCTAAAAACTTACAAAATATTAAATATTGTTGTAAATATTGTAATATATATACAATAAATATATAAGTTTTATATATGATATATAAATATATCATATCATATATATAAATATATCATATATGTATATATAAAATAATACATTTTAAATTCCCAATATACCTACCTGCCAAATATTACGTTCCAAATTTTTATTAGTAATTATTTGGAATGCTTATATTATTATAAGGTTTATTTATAAAATAATAGTATTTTTTAACTATATTATATTATATTTAAAAGAAGAATTCAAGTTTCAAACAATTGCCAAACAATAATCTAGGCGAGTAATAAGTTATCTTTCTTTGGCGAGTATTATCGTTTAGCGATTGTTTATGCTGGTTAGGATATTCATTCATAAGAATTGTATCAGCTGTTTTTGTCACGAGCAATATAGATATAACACTTGGTATCTTACTTTATGTTTGTGTGTAAAAAACAAGATGTGATGAAATTAATAATTAAGAAAAAAAAATCAAATTATATACATTGCCAAGAATAAAGTATTAAAAAAAAGTTTTTAAAATGTTTCTTTTGCAATTTTCTTTTAATAATAAATTAATTTCATAATTTTTAAATTTGGTGATATAAAATGCGTAAAAATATTATTTCTCAGAAATATTTTCTATAAGTTTCTTACCAACTATATTGATAAAAGGGGGTCACTTTTATTGTTTTATTAGTATTAAAATTTACAAACAGTACGTACAACTAAAAACAATGCTAATGCATTAGTCATTTGCTTAATATAAACAAAAAATAATAAATACAAAGAAAGTATAACAAATGAAACAAATGAAATAATTCACTTTCATGTAATAGTGCAGTTGTGGAAATGTACATATACTTTGTGTGACATCTACAAGGCAAGAGTTGTTTTAGCAGCGCAGAAAATATTAATTAGCATTAATTATATAAAGTTGAAATTGTGTGAAATAAAGTTGAATTGAATAAGAGTAAGTCGAATTTATATTTAAATATTGCTCAATGAAAATTTATTAAAAGTATCCACCTATGTAGTGCGCGCTGCAATGGCCAGAAGAACACAAGACTATTCTGTATCTGTTGATGATGCAGATGATAACCCTGAAGATTTGGACAGTCCAGAAGGTATTGAAACAGCTACACTTGCCATACAAAAAACAACAAGTGGACGTGAAGAAAAAGGTTGCATTTTTTATTGCATATTATGTCAGCACTTTACCAATATTTTTTTATTTTTTATTTTATTAAACAAATGCAGAAATATGGGAGCGGCCTGTTACTAATACACCATACAAACTGCCTAGTGATGGCTCAACAGTACTGAGATTTGAAGTACAATATGCACGTATAATGCCCATTGATGGTCATGATCTTAAAGTCAAACGTTACGTTGTATATGATTTATGTGTGCGCCAGGATTCTTCAGTCATAGATCCGAATCCGGCTACAATAAAGCGTCGTTACACAGATTTCCGTAATTTATATATGAATTTAAAAAAAGATTATCCTAATGAGATGTCTACTATATATTTTCCAAACAAAGTATTGGTTGGTAATTTTTCGTCTGGTTTAATTGCTGAGCGTAGCACTGCATTTGAGGTTTTCCTTACACATGTCGCCGGCCATACGATGTTACGCGAAACGCCTGCATTTCTACATTTTCTTCAAGATAATGAATTGACAAAAGCTTGCCAATACTTAGATGAGCGACGAAATGAGAATGCTGTACCATTGCTTGAAGATTGTTTTCGAATGTTAAATAAAATTTTTATGGATCGTTCAAGACCAGTACTTTTAATACTATGTCGTCTAGTTGCTGCTTGCTGTGCTTCACCTGTGCCACACCATTCTGCTGATCGTTGGGCTACGTTAGCGTTGAATCGTTATGATACCTTATGTGATATTGACTTACTGCCACTCTACATTCCACTTTTACACACTTGTGCGCATTTATGGTAAGTTATTTTTAAAACCAATAATTATAATTAGTTTAATATGTACTTAAATTGTTGTAGTGTTTTTTTTTTATTGTACAATAAAATTGAGTTCGATTTTAACATTTTTTTCAGCGTTTCATTAGTTTTCCCCAAACAGTTTATGAGCATCTAAATTATTTACGAACTCTAAAAAAAAGAAATTAATAGTAAAACTTAAATATTTTGCAGTTCTGTATATATTTTAATAAAATATTTAATATTTTATATATTTATTTATTTTATATTTTATAATATAATATTTAATATTTTAATAAAATTTCATACCCAAAGCTTATATATATTTTAAGATTTGTACAATAATTTTCATGTATATATACTTTTTAAATGACTAAATGTTATTGCAATTTTTCTAATTGATTTAAATTAATATGAATACAATTAATTTTTTAAATAATAAAAAAAATTGAAGATGTACAAGAAATTGGTGACAAAAAAATTAACGAAACGTTGGGAAAATGATGAAAGAGAAATTTGCAATTTATAGTTTATACGAAATAATATTTTGTAATGAAAAGTGGGCTTAGAGGATAATACCAATAACCTCACCAAATGAAAACAAAAAAAAATGGTCCAATTTAATATATGTCTTTATAAATTATTAATTAGTTTTTAGCAGCATATATAATTGTAAAAACTATCGTTCTTGTTTTTTATTACAATATAATTCGTTATATTATATTAAATTATTTATTTGTATTTTAGGTGGCAACGTGGACGAGACCAAAAACAAATCACAGATCGTTTAAGCGATATGTCCAAGAAAGGCATTACTACAAACAACAGTCCTACATTAATGCAAGCCATACATAATCTGGATCCACGTACTGAAACTGTTTAAGAGACAGGAGTATTTAATATGGAACTAAAGATGCTGAAGTTATAATTAAAAGGTGCATTTTAGAAAAAGAAAATAAAAACAAAAATAAAAAAAAAAAAATGAATATAAAATTCAAATTTGAGGCTAATATTCAATTAAAAAATTTGAGAGACTAACTTGCCTAATACTAGAGTTCAATTTATTTATCTCGTACGTGTTTATTATTTTATTATTTGTAATTATTTATACTACAAATATGTTAGTTATAATGCTCTCTTTTAGTATAAGCATATTGAAAACTATAAATTAAACCATTATATATTATTTTATATTATTTTAAGTAATTTACAAATGATCTATAAAGAGATATTGGCCAACTTAAAATTATAAATAAATTCTTAAAATTTGCTTAAATGTATATTAGAAAATCATTTTATTAGAATATTAAAATTGCTGTTGTATCTTAATGTGCTTATAAATTATTCGACTTTATGTATGTGTAAAAATATTAATGATATATAAAATTATTTATGTCTTATAATTGTATTTTTATATATAATTAATCAAGCTCTATTTTAATTGCTTAAAATGTGTTTACAAATAATTTTTTTCTTTCTAATCTAATTGTTAAAATTTATTAATTTATATTCATTATTACTATTTATTCGGTTTTAATTGAATACTCTACACGATATTAAACAATACCAACGAATTTAGCATTAATTTGCCGATACTCAATACCGAATGACGATTCAATTTGTTTTATAATTCAATTTTATATATTATATGACATATTTTAAACTAGAAAAATTATCTGCCTTTATACACATCATACATACTCACATAAATTCATTTATTTCTTAGAGACTTGTGTTAGCTTTAAATGTTAAAATTCTAAATTTATGTGTTATCAAATATTTTTTGTTTTATTTTATTTTTGTTTTATTTAAAAAATTTAGTTTTTTATATTAAATATTAAAGTTTAATTATTTTTAATTTTATTTTAAAAATGTTTCACTTTAAAATTTATATATAATATTTTATTTAAAATATGTGAACTATAAATTTTAAAATTTTAAATTTATATGTTACCAAATATTTTTATTAAAAAAATTTAATAAAATTATTATTTATAGTTTTATTTAAAATATGTGAACTATAAATTTTAAAATTCTAAATTTATGTTACCAAATCTTTTTATTAAAAAAATTTAATAATTTTTAATATTAATTTAATAAGTTCTAATTTAAAAATTGTTGCAATTATTATTCAAATATTTTATTTAAAATATGTGAATTATAAATTTATAAATTCTAAATTTATATGTTAAATATTTTTTATTAAAAATATTTAATGTTTTAATTTTAATTTAATAAAATTTAATTTTTAAATTGATTTTAATTTGTTGCAATTTATATTTAGATATTTTATAGAGAGGTATGAAAAAGTAGTGAAATTTTTTGTTTAAATATATTTATTTACACATAAGTTGATTATAACATAATTTTGTTTTATTGTTAATAAAGATAACAAATTGCAGGCAAAAATAATTTTAAAATAAATTATTTATACTTTATTGTGTATATATTTTATTATATATAGATTTTATTATATATATATATTAAATTATACATATATATTTTTATATATATATATATTTTATTATATATATAAATTGTACTATATATATATTTTTATATATATATTTTATTATATATATTTAATAAACAAATATTTGAAATTATTAAAAACTTAAAAAAAAACTCAATTAATTAAATTCTTTCTTTGTTATCATTGAAACATTTAAATTAAAATATTTAAACTTAGATATTTTTAATTAATTGAAATTTTAATTTCAAAAATTGTAATGTGCCGTTAAAAGTAATTTTAAAAATGGTAAAAAAACTATATGTTTAATACAAATCCTCAGTTGACTTGCATTACAATTAATTTGAAACATATTTTTATGTTATATTAGTAATAATATATTTAAAAAACAAAAATTACTTATTTTTGATAAAAAAATTTGTACTTGTAAAAAACTTTTAACAAATAAACAAATTATTTCAATTTTAAAGGATGAATATGAAAAATAATCTTTGATTAATATATATAAGTCTTATTCAGTTTCACTATCAGACAGTAAAGTAGATATAACAAAACTAGGTAATAAAAAAAAGGGGCTAGGAAAATGGTAATGGAATGTTAATAGCCCTTAAAAATCGAAACGAATATAGAAAACAAATTTATTGAAATACTAGAATTAATTAAGCATTCAATAAGTTGTACATATATGTTTATAGTAACTCAGAAGAAAGTAAGGTTTAGGTTTAATAGATGTATGTTATATATATAAGCAACGTTAAAACCAAAGTAGTAATACAAAATACATTAATTTAATAAAATATTAATGGGAAGTAATTTTGATAGAACAATATTATTATATGATAAAGATAATATATATTTATATCAAATATATCAAATATTATATCAAATATTATATGATAAAGATAATATATATATATCAAATATATTTTGTCATTAGCGTTTTTAACATATTTGCCTTTTTAAAAACACAATGTTAAAAAATAATTACTATTAAAAAATAACTATTCATTTAATAATTGGAAAGTTAACTCAAAAGAAAGCAACTATCAATTAGTCGCACCGTTTTGATTAGATTTTACTAATTCTTTTCCAATTATTCTAAGATCGTAAAAAAATCTACCATATTTAGACATTTGCAGAATTGCACAAACAAATATTCACCATTTCTAAGAAGATTTACTCAACTAAAGTAAAGTATTAAAGTACTTAACACTTTAATTTCGATGATTGTTTTAATCTCACCATGTAAACGCACTATAATTTGGTTTTTATTTTTTATGTATCATATATATCATACGATCATACGATCACACCCTAACGATCATATAACACAATATATCAAATTTTTGAGCTGTTTGTGTAATTTTATTATAAAGAAATTTTGAATAATTATGGAAACTCTATTGCATATGTTTTTATATGTTTACAATTTGGCGGTTGTTTCACCTAAATTTTTGGCTAATAGTTCAAAGGGAATAAAATAAATGGATCCTAATATAATTGAATTTATTGGTGAGAAGTCAGAAATTAGTATAATACCAAGTTTCAATTTCGATCCGCTGCATTTAATATCTGGTACAATTGGACCTTTTCGTGCTGGTCTACCAGTATATGTTCCATTATGGTTAGCCGTACATTTACGTAAACAGCAGAAGTGCCGAATAGTGCCACCACAATGGATGGATATTGATACATTAGAAACAATCAAAGAGGAGGAAAAAATGTCAAAGTACTGATAAGTTTTTTAAATTCATTTTTTATAGTGTTTGGTGTGATTCGGTCAGTTCAATTTTAGGTTTTTTACAAAGATGCCTGATGAACACTATATGATTGTGACACAGTTGATAATGAATGCTGCACCAGCTGATGTTCCACGTTGCGATGAAATTCGAACTATTATAAAAGATATATATGATATTCGAGAATCTAAATTACGTGCTTCGATCGATGCTTTTATTAAAGGTGAAGGAACTTATGCTAAACTTGATAATTTAACGTTGCTGGAGATACATAGTGTGCGACCAGTACTTCCACATGCATTAGATCATATATCAAGATACCAACGTGCTGCACTCGCCACGCAAAAAGATACAACTGGATTAGGTCTAAATAGCACTGCGAACACGAGTGCTTTTTTTACACAGTAAAAATAATTGGCACGTGATTTTTGATAATTATAATTGCTTATAGTGCAATTATGTATAGTGCTAAGCACTAATTATAGTGCATAGTGCTTATTAAGTTTGCCAAAACATTTATAAAACGATCGCGGAGACAACAGGTCAACACGTATATGTTGTAGCCTGCTGCGACCTGCTTGTGAAATCCCTTTTGGAGGTGTCAAACGGCAGTTGGTTGTTGATACCGACGAGTGGCTCTAACAGATAGACTCAACCGTTATTGGAACCTATAACACGTATATAACATCAATAATTGATATGACAAGGCAAAACAAGTTGGCTAATGTAGAAATGATTATTTTTAAGTACAATTAGTATAGGTATTAATTTTTTAAGTAATTGTATATTAATTTGTGCATCAATATTCATGTTAAGATTATATACATATAGAAGACTTAATTACTTTTATTGTAAGAATTAAATTATTAAAAAAATGAAATTATTAAAGAAATATGATATTTTTTTTTGTATTAAATGCAATATATGTATATTGTATTTCTACAATTAATTAAAAATATATTTTTATATTAATATTGTTTTGTTTTTTTTTCCGTATCATTGTTTATAAATGTGTTGTAAATATTTATTTATTTGTGAGTTAACATCGAAATTAAGTGAGAATAGGTAATTTCGTATATTAAACTTTAGCATATTAGCATATCCTGCGGAATATTTGTTAAATACCAACTGTTAGATGATCTGCTGGTAGTGTATTTGCAATTTTTTAGGAATGATTTCTGAAAACCATTTGTGTGTATGACCTTAGCCTCAGCAAGAATTTCATATACTTAAGAATTACAAAGAGGTCAATAATATATTATATACGTTGTAAAACTTTGAGGTCTACATGAATTTTTAGACATAATAAGCATAGTATAATAATAATCCATGCATTGCAGATCAAAAATAAAGACTATGCTAGACTATAATGTCCAGTATACGCATATACTTAAATTACAAGATATTAGGCCGATTTCCTATTATCATAAAATGTCCGGAAGAATTGGTGAACATGCGATAGTATTAAAAACAGTTTCTTAAACTGTTAACAGTTTAAGAAACAATAAAGCGGAAATTCAATCTAACATACATATCGTTATAACCCATACATTAAGACCTTTGAAACTTGGTTGTGCAACTTAATGTCTGTATCGCTGTCTATACGGATAAGACCGTTGGTAAAATGTATAAGATTTACAGAAAAAAATATACAGATAATTTCCAAAAAAAATATCTATAGATGAATTGAAGAAATAATATTGCCACATTGTCACTAAAAGGATAGATAATATTTTAATTCAAAATGCTATTTATTTTTTAAATGGTTCGATATTATTTTCAGACACACCTTAATTTCGCAAAAGTCTTAATTTCATCTTTTTTTCAGCGAAATTAAGTTGTTTTTTCCATACAAAATTCTGTTTTGAGGTTAGAACGAAATTAAGCAAAAAGTGGCCTTAATTTTGTTGATAGGGTTGAAATTAAGGGACATTTCAAATGCAATTATGCGTAAAATGAGTTTTAAGCAAAAGATAAAAGTTGACATAACGAAAAAGTGACATTTTTGTTTAAAAAAATGTCAATGACAGTTGACTTTTATAAAACCGGGAATTATTTTGAAAGCAGTGCTAATTTTTCAATTTGAATATAGAGAAAAAACTGCAATTGTTATTGTTAAAATAAAGTAAAAAATATTAATTCAGATACTTGAAGTCTACTAAAGTTAATAAAACTACTGAATGCCATCCTTTATAGTTATAATAATCAACTTTTAAAATTTCCCAGACACAAATGATGTTTGAAGCATGTAATTTTAAACATTCGATTTGTAAACAAAAAACATATGATTTTCTTAATTTGGGGCAGTATGAACACTTTCGATATTAACTTAATTCCATTTTTACGAAATTACGGAAATTTGTCTGTCTGAACATATTATAATTCAAATAATCCTAACAATAAAGAGAGCAAACAAAGAACAGATGTGAAAAAAATGGTTGATATGCACCCTTTTATCTGTTTAGGCAGTTTAATTATGCTTACATTTATAATTATCGAAACTAATTAGCATATTTTTTTATAGTTTTTGTAAGTGTGATAATGTAAACATACAATTAATAATATAATATAATATGTTTTGAAACAATAGTAGCTGAAATATTGCTTTTTGTTTAAAAGAATTTTTTTTAATTAAATTATATTTATGAGCTATTTAAATGTATTTTTTTAAATACATAATGAAGGTACTTTAAAATTATGTGCATATGTACATATATTCATAAATGTCAAATCTCACTATTATGAACAATAAAATATTCGGACAGACAGACATCAGAATCAGTATCAGGTTAGCTTGTTTTTTATTATATAAAAAATTATAAAAATAAAAGCATTTTAAAACATAAGAAGCATTTCATACTTTAATTATTTTTAACATACACTTTCAGATTAATAATAAAAAAGTATAGATAAAATATTTTAAATATTTTAACAAACAGCTGTTTGTGAAGCTATGTTTACTGTGTAAAACAATGAATGACACAACAAAAGGAACGCAAAATAAACATATTTTGTTCAGTTGCTACTGCTTCGCGCATATTTTTAAGTAATTATATATATAATATTAGTTAATTAATAACAAAATGGAACAAGAACAAGATAGTCGGAAAAGTAATGGATACATGAGCAGTAAAATTCACTTTTCAAAAGAAGTTAAAAATGCCATAGACAAAGTAAGGCACAAGTGTTTTTAGACAACAACAACTTGACACATTGGCAAATATTAATAATGAACCAAATATTATTTAAAAATAGGTATTGAAATCTGATGATCCTATGGACTCAACAGATTTTAACACAGTGGATTACATTAATCAATTGTTTCCGAATGAGCAATCTCTCGTCGGCATCGACGACACCATTCAACGCATGCAATGTGAAGTGACATTAATTGATGAAAACATACGCTCCGTTGTACGCGGACAAACAAATACCGGACAAGATGGTCAAATGGCACTTAATGAAGCACAGAAAGTTATAACCTCGCTGTATGAACATATACTTGATGTAAAATCACGCGCTGAACGCACTGAAGAAATGGTCAAGGAAATAACAAGAGATATAAAGCAATTGGATTGTGCTAAGCGAAATCTCACGTCAGCGATCACAGCACTTAAACGTCTACATATGTTAGTCGGTGGAATCGAAAGTTTAAATATGTTTATAGAAAAGCGTTCATATGGCGAAATATTAAATCCACTGCAAGCTATTAGCGAAGTGAATCAACATTTTCAGCAATATTCAGAAATTGATGAAATTAAGGTAATGTGCATGAAGGAAAACTTTTTTATTTCACTTGATTTTATAAAATATTTATTGAAATTAAACTTTACAGAATCTCTCGCAAAACGTTGAAAAAATTCAAATCAAATTAGCTAAACAAATCTCAGAAGACTTTAAAGATGCTTTTTCGGCTAAGTTAAACTCTAAAGACAGCAATGGACAATCACGATTAAGTTTAAATCAATTAAGTGAAGCATGTAAAGTTATTTCTGTGCTGGAGCCAAGAGTTAAAAAGGATTTGTTGAAGTGGTTCATAGGTAATTTACGTGGATGGGTAGTGGGTGAAGGTGGGGGTAGGGGAATAGGGAGAATGGACGGATTGTGCGGTTGGTGGGTTTAGTTGTAAGATTAACCTGGGTCCAAATGGAGAAACCTGACCACCCCTAATTTTAATAAATCTAGATGGTTCTATTATCGTTATTATAATGGGTGTGTCGTGTGTAATCCCTATGAAACCTCCAATTTAAATAGAACTAGATGGTTCTACATTTGGTACTATAATGGGTTTGTCTGCGATATTATTGTCAAATTATGACAATTGTACGCCATGCATTTTCAACGCAGTTCAACGTTTTGAATTATTTTTGTCGCAATCATAAAATTTAAACTTCTTTGAAGTCTTTCAATTTAATTTTATTATTTTTATATTTCCCATTTTCTATTGAATAATATCACAGATTAAACAATATTTATTTTGAATGAAGTACCAACAAACACATGATCCATCTTCATTTGTCACGAAATAGGATCGCATGTCCTGAAAAAATATCTGGCAGATGGATGTACTCATATCGAATACTAATTGTGAGGAACTGAGATAGTTTTTTTTTCTGTAGTATGTGGTATAAACTGATACTTTGGATTGACTCGGTATTGTCGAATTTTTAATATTTATGATGGCTTAAAATATAATAACAACAATTGTAAAAAGGCAATATGTTGGATAGTATGCTCAGGTTCTAATCATTTTATTCCAATATATTAAATATTGTGAATTGTTTTTAAATCAATTATAAAAAGATATAATTCTTGTTTACATTTTTTTTTGTAGCGCAACAACTTGAGGAATACGTGCAACTTTTTCATGAAAACCAAGATATAGCGTGGTTAGATAAAATCGATAAACGATATGCATGGCTTAAAAGACATTTGCTTGATTTTGAAGATAAATTCGGTGATGTGTTTCCATTGGATTGGGAAGTTTCTGAGCGCATAACAGTGGAATTTTGTCGTCTAACACGTCAGCAGTTATCGCAAATAATGGCTAAACGGGTTTCTGAAATTGATGTGCGATTGTTATTATTTGCCATTAATAAGACCCAAGCCTTTGAACAGTTGCTTTCTAAGCGTTTCACTGGTGTTACTCTTGGTTTTGCAATCACCGATAAAACGGCTTCATATACTGAAAATAATGCGGATCTTAATAATACTGCGTTACCCTGTGTATTCCAGGATCAAATTGGCAGTTGTTTTAAATCACATTTAGGAATTTATATAAAGAGTATTGATCGTAATTTAACTGAATTAATGGAAAAGTTTGTAGAACAAACAAAAGAACCATTTAAAATAGCTGAAGCTAAAACAACAGTTTATCCAAGGTAAACATACACATAGTTTATTAACATACTACTTACATACATTAAGCAATTAATAAATATTAATATATATTTTAAAGCTCTGCAGACCTGTTTGTGTTTTATAAAAAATGTATGGTGCAGTGCAATCAGTTAAGTAATGATCAACCAATGTATGACTTGGCCTTGGTTTTCAAAAAGTATCTACGTGAATACGCCGTTAAGGTTCTAGAATTTAGCACACCAAAAATTTTAACAAATTCTACTTCCATAGGTAATTGATACATATGGTATATATCGTATATTTATTATTTAATTAATAATAAACATTATCAATTCTAGGCAAAAGTATGTCGTTGTTAACACGTGATATGCAAAATCTTTCTAGTGCAGCTGGCCAAGTATTTCAAAATTTGTTAAAGGAGGGCGATACACAACGCTTTTCGAAGGACGAATTGATACGTATTTGTTGCGTACTGACTACAGCTGAATATTGTCTTGAAACAGTACAACAGCTAGAGGACAAATTAAAAGAAAAAGTTACATTAGCGTATGTGAATAAAATTGACATGTCAGAGGAGAAGGATGTATTTCATCGGTTGGTATTAAACAAATATTTTTATTTAAAGTACTGTTTATATGATTGCTACTTTTACAATAGTTTTTTTTCAAAACCTCAAGTCATAAGTAAGAAGATTAATAATCAATGTCGAGTTTATTTTTCTTAACACTTTGAGGCAAATTTTTTAAATATCATTTAAAAATGTCTCTCAAAAAACCAATTGCTATTTTAATTTTAGTTCGGAAAAAAATTTCCAATTGTTCTTTAATACCAATGGGTATTAACCAGGTATACTTTCCTTTTCAAAATTAAAATACGTGAAAGATACATTGTGAAACTAAAGAAGGGATAGAAACTTGAAAGCATTTGCTTTAATTTTGATAAAAAAATAAAGTTTTGAATTCTTTAGTTATGGACGAAGTAATAGATTTTGTTTTGCTTAAGACTCAAAACAAAAAAAAAATAATAAAATTTATACAGAAAACAAGATCTAAAATTAAAAAATAAGAATAGAGCTTAAATTTGTATGTAATAATAAAAATAATCTGAATGCATAAACTACATACGTTAAGTTTAAGGTTAGGTTAGGTTATACCGACGACCTCGGGTGAATCCACTTCGACCTATTGGCCTATTGTGTTACTGTGTATATAGAAAAATCTCAGAATTTAAAACTACCTAGAACTTTTAACAAAGCGTAAACGCTATTGTCAGGTCTAAACCGTTGAGTCGCCGCCGTGCATGAACTGGGCAAAAACATAGTAGATGAGAGGTTCCCTAGTATACAGGCTACTTTACAGTAATCTGTAAGTAAATCTACCAAAAGATCGATATCTTTACGGGGTATCTTAATGAGAATTTTGAATTTCCTTTTATCGGAACGTGGCCAGAACGTGCATACAGATGCCTACATGTCGTTGAGTTTTCCTATCTTTTATTAAAAATTTTAGTACGTTAAGTTTAATCATTTAAATTTTTATAAATGATATAAAGCAGCTTGATAGGTAACAAGATATTTAGCGAAATATATTCCAATAAATCATGTTGATTTAAATGGTAAAATTTCTTTGCAGAACTTGAAAACAGACTCCAGATTTTATTTAAATTCATTCGTATTTGATAAAATATTAGATAAGATGAAATATGAAAGATTACTTTATTGATTATTTCATTGCAAAAATTTTTTATCAGTTACTACGATATAAAAATAAAAAAATGTCCATAAATTTCCCAGGGAACTGAAATTGTTTCTCCTCACTAATGTGAATAACTAGGGGCCATGTTATGCAGAGTGTCTCGGGCACGGCATGAGTACAATTGTTGTTTTCAATGCAAATTTTAAATTTGAGAATGAGTGAAAAAACAATATGGCCGTTCAAACTCCGGCATGAGAGCCGGCGTATTTTTGCCCCGGCACTAAGGCAAAACAGTGTTGTTTAGTAATAAATTTCAAAATTTGCGCCTTTTAGGAGCAAACTACTACAATTCTAGTACGTTTTGGAGAAAAAATGGCAGTAAGCAACATAGCATTTTTTTTATAAATCGCTAATAATATAATTATTAAACTTTCCGATTTTAAAAAAACGCATAAGTACTGTGAACAATTATTATAAGATAATGTAATAATAAATTAACATTATTACAGCCTCTATGAGTTTTTTCATGCGAGTTATTTTTGGTGGCAAATTGAAAGTGAGCATATCTAAATTTCCTTTTAAATTTAGGCACAACCAAGAAGTAGTAAAAATACAAAATTGGCAATACTGATGTGACACTCTGCATAACATGCATTTTCGGCATAGCCCGAATGAGCGTAATTTGCCGTGCCCGAGACACTCTGCATAACATGGCCCTAGCAAAATATTATTATCACTTAGCTACCAAACAAAGCTACCAAATTAGTTCAATTCATCTTGAGCTAGTAGAATTTTATAAATTAATTTTCGTTGTTGTTTATATTTTATGTTTATATTAAATTAAATTACATTATATCACATCACATCTTCCTTTCATAATGTGCCTAATTAAAGTTAGATTATATTAGAGTTTCAATTATTATCTCTCTCTCTCTCTCTCTCTCTCTCTCTGAGCTGGTCTAAGTTTCTAATACACTCATAACGGACACCCCTCTTAAAGGGATACATAGAATAGGTGGATCAATCTAAAATCAAAAATTCTTGCCATTATTTCAAAGAACTTATTTTCTTTTGGTTCGACACCTCTCTTCAATGAACAAAAGATGACTCACAATAAGTGTCCATTCAAAAGTTATTCATCTATTTTAACAAACATTTAAAACAAATGTGCTAGGAATTAAAATAAATATACTTTTGTATGAATTATATTTATAAGAATTTTCTTTGTAAAATTATTAATTTTTGTACTTTTCTAGAATAATATCGAGTTGTATACAATTACTTGTGCAAGATCTTGAAGCTGGTTGTGAAGCATCTTTGCAAGCCATGTCGAAGATTCAGTGGCAAAGTATAAGTAATGTGGGCGATCAAAGTGCTTTTATTAGTACTATATGCAGTAATTTCAAGCATACAGTACCCGTAATACGTGATACGTTGGCGACATCTCGAAAGTATTTTACGCAATTCTGTCATAAATTTGTCAATACGTTCATACCAAAATTTATTAATGTGCTATATAAATGCAAATTAACGCTGTCGGATGGTTCAAATAATGTGTTAGGTTGCGAACAGTTACTATTGGACACGCATAGTCTTAAAACGGCATTACTTGATCTGCCATCGATTGGATCGAGCGTTAATCGAAAAGCTCCAACGAGTTTTACTAAAGTTGTTATTAAGGATATGACACGTGCTGAGATGATAATTAAAGTTGTTATGACACCAGTTCAACCACCAGCACATTTTACACAGCAAGTTTTAAAGTTATTGCCAGATATAACAATATCGGAATATCAAAAAATATTAGACATGAAAGCTGTTAAGCGTGTAGATCAATTACAATTAATTGATTTATTCAAGCATACAGCATCAACGGCAGCTATTGCAGGCTTATCGGATGATGTAGAGTCTGTACAGGAATTATTAACCTCACCGAATGTGTCTGAAAGCAGTTCAAATATAGAAGTTACACTAAACCTGTCTTCAGAATCATCTGATGTGACTTCAGGCAATAGTAACGGCAATCAGTCTACAGCAAGTACAGTTCCAATATCTACACCTAAACGTAATTTCATCTTCAGTGTCGGCAACTTTACTGGAAGTAGTAACAGTAACACTGATGGTTCTTCAAGTATGAATGATCGTGGCCGTATACGAAAATTAGAGAATCTTATTAAAAAACGTCTACCATAATGAACAGCATATAGTACATAAAGATCGTTTAACATTCCAACCATATTTTGGCTTTCAACCGGAAAAAAGGCAAAAAGAAAATACAAAAATAAATATTTATATAAATTTAGTATGAGTCATAGTATTTATATGTTAATGTGCAATCAAATATTTATACTTTAGCAACTTAAGCAATTTTAGCATCTAACACAAATCAAAATTAATACCTTTTGATGTCTTTTACTATGATGTGTTATTATTTTAAATTAAATTCAATAAAATTTGCACTAATTTTAATTTATTTATTTTTATTTATTATTTTATTAACTTTTGTTTTTAATATACACTTGTTATTGAAGTTTGCAAATTTTTTTAATTTTTCATTTTATTAATTCTTTAGTCTATATTTATGTATTGTATATTGTTACATTTTAAAAACATTGAATATATCACAACAAACTGAATCTGTAATTAGTGGTATTGTTATAAAGAAAGTTCATTACATTTTTCAGGTTAAAATAGACTTGTACTTAATTAAAATCGTGTTCACATAAATAGCAATTATAAATATCTAATATATCCTGTAAATGATCGCTTGTGTATACAATATATATATACATATATATGTGTATATAAATTCGAAATAAATAACAATTCATAAAATATTTTATATTATTTTTAATTTATCGTATAAACTTAACACATTTGGCTATTTTAATAAGAAAATGATTTGTTAATGTATGCATGTCTCAACTCCAAATCCATTAACTGGTATTTATAAAGTAAACCATGTACCGTAAGCAAAAGTTATTAAGTTTCATTTATTAATATTTTGCTATTACATATAACAATAAAGCTGGTCAATCGAGGTTTTCAATTTAAAGTAAGAATAAGCTTATAAGATAATATCAAACTTGATATTAAATAAGATTTTACAAAACTTGGCTCTGCGAAATGCAATGTGGCGTGTAAAATGTTTCTTGGATATCGTAATAGCGTCATAATAAGTAGAGCTCTCCCTTCACGTTATAGGTCAATCTCCTCTGTTATATGATGAATACATCGGCAGGGAATTGCATTCGCAACGGAGACTACATAAGTGAGATTGAATATAGATGAAAGTTTTTGGCTGCACATAACATGACATGTTTTTTCTTCGAAACTACAGTTGCGTAGCTATACGTCCTGATCACCTTATATCAATTGATCGTAGCTATATGCGAACTAATTTATTTATCACCCATACATAGCTCTATATCCACTGCGTGTTAATTGCAGCTTTGCTCGCCACAACGTCATCTATTTATATTTTTAATCAAAAGTCAGCAAATATAGAGCGGCAACATCAAGAATTGTGACCAAATGGGTGACTCATAAATAGATAAATAGACTAATGTATGATTTAACTGCAACTCTACTCCCCAAAAAGACGTCTAAGTATTTTTTACTCAAAATGTATCAATTTTAGAAAGAAAAAATCGAGAATTGTGATGAAATATCGTGCCTCACTAATGGACATCGAATATAACAAAGTCTCACTTTACTGGGACATAGGAATATTAAATGGAACAAGGTAACAAAAGAGATTCAGAGGGGCTTTTGAAATGAACATATGGGAAGCATAAAATATTCACCATAGCTTTGATAATTATCTTATGGGGTCATAAGATAGTTGCTAGACCCTTATGGCTCAACAATAGATAAGTATAAAACCAGAAGCATTTTAGGCTTTAGCAAATTTGCAGTTTTTTTTTTTTTTTTTTTTTTTTTTTTTTTTTTTTTTTTTTGAAATCCATTTATTTATTACAATCTGTCAGGAATGAATAACAATAAGTAATATATATATAAATTTAAATCGTAATAATGGTTATTACGATATAAAAAAGAAAGGCACGTATGGACTATGCCCAGTGACATATATATTTAAAATAAAAGTGTATTGTCTACATATACATATTTAAAATGTCTCGCGATGTTTTTCTTCTCAGCCTTGTAAAGGTATTGGAAGGGGACATCAGTTGAGTAACCAGAGGGTTTGGGTGCATATATAAGCGTTGAGCGTAATTCTTTAAAATACTTGCTATTTCTTCCTTGATTGTTCGAACATGTAATTGTTTATGTAGCTGTTCATTCGTTATATACCAAGGTGCGTTTGTGATCATTCGTAGCGTTTTAGATTGGAAGCGCTGTATAATTGCCAGGTTTGAGTCTGCTGCAGTACCCCATAATTGGGCCCCGTAACTCCATATAGGTTTAAGTACAGATTTGTATATAAGCAGCTTATTGTCGAGTGACAGTTTGGAATTTCGGCTGAGGAACCAAAATAAGTTTCGTAATTTAAGACCCAAGGCTTTACGCTTTTTGAATATGTGCGATTTCCAGGTTAGCTTACTATCCAGATGTATTTGCAGTTTGTGTACTTCCTGAAGTGGTAACAGAGCATTGTGTCATTGCACTGATAAATTTCAACGGTTGGCTTGTATTCTGACAGTTGACAAGTAAAATTATAGAATTTTAATTTTATCCTAGCAGAGACAACTTAACTTGTTGGATCTCTTTAGCTTTATCTGTGAGAGCAATGGTTTATTAAGGATAATACCAAAGAGTATATATACATAGAGTGTGCATCACTCAAAAAATCTTAAAAATGAAGTGATGGCAATTTCACAAAAATCGGTCGCAGAAATCGGGGAAATAGTATTTGAGTTATTTTTGTGTCACATGGACTCGTTGTGACTCAATTTTTAATTTTTCAGCATTAACATGCGGGAGAGTTTGGAGTGTTAAAGCATTTTATACTTAATGAGTTTTAAAGAAATTTGTATTGCTTTTCTGCGCTCTGAACTACAGTTGTTGGTATTTTTATGTAGAAAGGTGCATTTAACAATTGAGAAATCAAGAAGAGCAACTTATGAAAATATCAAAGCAATAAATGTCTGCAAAAATACCAAAAAACTTATTTTTTATTCACAATCCATTTTTTTTCTTCAATGTAGAATTTTCTGTAAAACCGAAATTTTTATTTTCAAGTTTAACTGAAACATTTGTATAGAAGTAAACAGCACAGTATATTTTGTAAATTATTGTATGTTATTCGCAATTTTATGAAATTTTGGCAAAATTGAGATTTCGTACAATTTTGGCGAAATTTGAACCCTTATAATTTTATATCTACTAATTGAAAAAATTTTATTTTTTATATTTTTTACAGCTTAGGATATTGTTACCATTTTTAAATAAAAACATGTTTAAATTTTATTAACAGTTAAATTTAAAAGTGAAAATTTGCAAAAATCACTCGTGTTTTTACGACTTTTTTCACTACAATCTAATACAATCGATACCCAAAAAATGTATACAAGTTTTCCATAAAATTTTTTCACTAATGCTAATGCCTAATGCTTAAGGATCACAAAAATTTGCTGTTCCCAGTCTATGTTTTGTATATATTTCAGATCTCAGAAATTACTGAATAATTATGCAAAATATGAGCTTCAGTAAACTTCATAAAGTTTAACAAAAAATTCAATAAGTAATAATATAAGGACAGTTATTATATTATAAATATTGCTTACGATGGCGACTATGATAATATAAGTGCAAACTACCTGTTCTTGTTGCGCTATAGACCACCCCGCTAATCCTTCTTTTATTGCGGTTTTGTTTTTAATTTTAATAGTTTATTGTTTTTTATTATTAAGTTATTTTTATTTTATTGCTTATTATTTATTGTAAAGGTTTGTGGCGGTTGCATATTCACATGATCTAGGTTGGCCATGCAAATTCGGACAAATAAATTATTGAAAATAAGATGAGTTGGTCATGAAAAGAAAATTAATTAGTTAATAATATTTTTATTGAGTAAAAGGAAGGTTGTCATTCTTTTGACGGTTTGTTTTTATAAATAAATAAAATTAAATTAAGTAGGATAATCCTACAGGTTTTTAAAAAACAACATATTTAGGTAAAAAATTGCACCATATACAAATGGTGACTTATAATATCATATACATACGCTAAAAATGTAGCCAATTGTGATGCATTTTCCAATTCAAAGAACATAAATATTGATTTATTGTCTTTAAGATACACAATAGGGTACGTAGCTAAAAAATACTTTCAAAACGAAAGTATTCTTAGAATTAATTAAATTGTAATATTGTAAATATTAGTAAAATAATAAAGAACAAAACATATAAAATAGTTTAATAAACGAAATATAAACATATTTAAATATACATACAAATTAAAGAAAACGAACATAATATAAAATGCATATATGTATATACATATGTTTTCATATCCAAAAGAGCATATTTATAACCAAAAGAGCGGTTGAGTGTGATAATGTGCACATATCAATGAAAATGCAGTCTCTTTGCACACATATAGTAAAAGGACTCAAATATTGAGTAATTCCTGGGTTTTTAAAAAACCAGTAGAACAAAATTTTTGTGACTGATATTTTGTTCGACATGCACACTCTATGTGTATATACTCTTTGATAATACTCAGGCAACTTTGAGAGCATCATAATGAATAAAAAATGTCTCCCAGTGTGAGCACTGACGAGCATGCGCCCCCATAATCTAACCTAATTTTTCCAAAAGTATATATAAACTTAAGTCCTGTCGATTTATAGCTCTATCTCATGTAGCAGGTAAGACTCATTTACTTGAATCTAGGCTAGGTTCAATACTCTCAGCTATCCGCCTTCCTTATTTTTACCCTGATCTTACTATCATGATTCCACTACAATTATGTATGATCTATCGTCCATTTCATAACTCCTTTCGATTCGAAGGAGTTTTACTAAGTGTTTATGTCCACTTTACAGAGCTTTCACTGTTTCATAAGAATTTGTAAAAAATAAAACTTTCAAATTTTAGTTTTAATTGTTTTTTAATAAATGTTTAATAATGCTATATAATATTTGTTGTTTTATAATAGTTTATAATAAAAGAGTTTGTCGCCATGTTAACATTTTAGTTAGAATTCATTTAATTACTTGTTTTTATATAGACAAAGCAATATAAATTAATTTAAAGGTACTTAAATTACTAATGACTTTATGATATTGTTTTAAATTAATAAGTATGAAGTTGTACATAATGTAAATAAGACAAATAAAGGTTGAAAAAAAAGTTAATATATACAGAAAACTGACGTAAATACTTATATATTAATGCTTAAATATTAAAACTGATAAAGTTGACTTAAACTTAGATTTTAGACAAATTGAAGATCTTTTGAAAGAGTTTTATTCGAAACATAATAATTTATATTTATTTAATATGAATAATAATAATAAATAAGGAAAAATACAAAAGACTTAAGTAACAAACTTGCTCAACACGGACAGCAAATCGTCCTGCAAGTCCTTCGATTTTTATTTTAAATTTTTCTTTTTTTTTGCAGCTTTGGTTTGATTTCAGCATTTCTCTGGCTTCTGAGCTCGAATGCTGATGTTATATTCAATATATATTAGCATTACGTTAACGGGATGGATCTCACACTAGAAGTCAGTGATAATGAATAATGATAATGAATAATTTAAAATATTCCTAGATATTCGCTTGTTGATGCTCGTAATTGAAGTGATTAAATGCTTATTAAAATTCCTTGGTTTTGTGCTATTAAGTTAAATGTACTCGTACTTACGCTAAAAAGTAGCAACTTAGGTCTACTCTTGCGAAGCTATATTTCTACCATAATTAAGCGTAAAATATATATTATAAATTATATAAAAATATATGTTAAACCGTCGACAAAAAGGATATGTCCTTTTAGATTTTTATATACATAATAAAAACGTGTCGCACTTTTCTCTACTCATAAATTTAAATACACAGTATTTACATAAACAGAGTAATATATATATACTAATTATGCTTATTCTTAATTATTGATATAGCATACTCTAAACTTATTATACTTTGTGCTTTTTAAGATCTAACTAATAAAAATAATTATGTATATTTGAATTTTAATGGATAAAATTTAAACAGCAACTATTTTGCTCGGATCTACTTTCACGCGTAAAAAGACTGTGTCGTCCTTAATGAATGGACGTCGATGTAACAATTCGTGCGAAATAAAACGTGGAAAGCCGAAGCCCAATTGATCTGGTTCATTTGATGGTCGTTGAAAATTCTCCCAAGTTGGATCAGGCACAAAAGATTCAGCAACACCACCTTGACCGCTTTGTGCACCTTGTTCGAATAGCGTAAAAGTGATGGAATGTGAGAATGGCCATTTAAGCAATGCATCATATTCACCGGGCAATACTTTGATGTATACGGAGACATGTGTATTCTCACCAGGTCCATTGCCATTCAAAAACATAGAAGCTTGTAACTTGTAACCGTATTGTGAAGTGTAGAATGGTGGCGATACCAATTCGAGCCCATCCTTGCTGCGTGCTTCAGCCATTTTTGCCGACCAATCAGTTATTTTCCATAGCAAAGTACCAGTGTAATTAATGGATAATTTCGAAACAGCTGATTTTAGCATTTGTATTTGTTGACCTTGACGTGATGATAGTGCGACCATAAGTGATAGATGTGCTGAAGCATTTGCCTCCAAATGTGTTTCCAACATATGACGTGGTCCTTTGAAACGACAACCGGCTTCTTTAAATGTGCATGAAATTGCTAAAGCCTTGCATTCGTCACGCAAATGCGATTCCATATCACCACGCGCAATGGAACCCACATCACAACGTTGTGGGCAAACAATTGGTGCACGTGGACATTGTGCCACATGTATGGTAAGTGTATCAGCAGAAAATTCACGTGCACAGTGTATGCAACGACGTAAACGTTTGGCACAATCCTTGGATTTATGTAATGTCATGCGTCCACGTAGCACACGTTGGCCACATTTTGATTCGCAATATATTGGTTCCTGACCGCAGGTACCGGCATGTTCGTCAAGACCAGCACCAGAGAATTCACTTTGACAGAACTCGCATTTGGTGCGGCGCATGTTACATGTGTATTGCATGTGATCGGTCATCATTATCCGTGGTATTTGGGCACCACATTTATTTGGACATTGTGTGGCATCATGTTTGCAAATGTTTAAGTGAGCCTGCAAAAAAAAAAAAAATTATAAATAACTTGATTTCTTTCTTTAATATAAAAGACTTGAAATAGTTAATGAATACTTAAAACAGTATAATATTGATCAGAGTATTGCAATAATATTCTATAAGATCTGGAATATAAGGAGGTCTAAGTAGAGATGATCTTTAGTAAAATAATTTACAAGACTTTGCTATTATTTAGAGGATAAAAATATCAGCATCCACTCGGCTTTGAGTTTCCAGAAGAAATAGATTTTTAGAAAGGTACTTCTTTGACAGTTCATTAGACTGTTCATCGATGAAGACGAGAGCATTATTAAATTATTTTAAATCAACGGGATGGATTTAGTCTCTACGCTTTTATATTAAGGGTTCTTGCGAGGAATGTGTTAGCAAAATAGCGAAAAATTGATAATTGAGGTATATGGAAGTTATCTAAAGGTCTGCCACTTTAACCAATCAATCAAAGATAACAACCTCACAGTTTCATAAAATAGGAAGATAAAAAGCTAAGAAAAGTAATTACTAAACTCTATTATAAATTCTTACAGAGTTTAATCACTTTCGCAGCAACATTCCTCCTGATATGATCGGAGCTGTGCGACACAAGTCTCTCCACAATACCTATTACTCTACTTTGATAAAGTGTAATCCATTTCTTCTATTATATTCTCTTTAAATCGTAGTTTTTAGGATTGTGTTCAATAAGTCTTTACCTAATAAACACATTGTGCTTTTCAGAATCACCTCAGTTACCTCACTAGTTAAATCTTCTCACTTCATCAAATTTGAATTTCTTAATGTTTAAGTTTAAACTTCGTTTTTGGGACACCGAATACAAAGTCCATACCTTATACCATCATTCTGATACTCAGTTTGCTCACTGTGATTCCCACAATTACCCAGTCTCTTCAACAATCTAACATATTCACTTCACCTTCGTCCGCGCGCTTTGGATTTGAGAAATTTTTTGGGATTTTGAAATGTTAAAGCTATTCATTTCTATTATTGCTTTTGAATGATTACTGGCATAAGGTTATCCGAAGATTGAGCAATGGCTGGATTGAGCAATTATTTATTTCTAAGGAACATAGGTATGTGGATTTGTGAAAATATATGTGGAGATATGCAGGATTCCTACACAAGTATTGTTTGTTTCCCTTTTTTTTATAAGATTTTACCTAAAGTTACGATCATTTTTTCTTATGGATCTATTTAGTTCTAATGACCCATTATGTTGCAGTATAATATTCAGAGAATATAAAATCTTTAATTATGTATGCTATAGGGGGAAGATTTAAGTCTACGATTTTCTATTTATTTTTTAGATAAATATTTAGTATGTTTAGTTTCCTGAACATAAGAAATTGGAAAACAGACAGAGAAAAATAGAGAAAAATGGAGGACTGTTGTTAGACTGTAGAGTCACGGATGACGATGTTTAGTTTCTTAGTTCTGCATGCACTGGAGAATGGGATAATGTAAATGAGAAGCACTTTGACTTTTTCACATCTATGGCAGGAAATATTGCGGGAACTCTTCTTGAAGGCGTTTTATTTAAATTAAAGTATAATAAAATAAAATAGACAAAACACTAAATTAATTTTAAAACATACTTCATTTCATAGAAGACTCAGATTGACTATTATTGTGTGTATGTAAAAAATATGTACTTTTAGAATTTTAAGAATAAAATTTTATTTAGCAAATAAAGTAACACTAAACACTTACAAATAAGATCAAAAAACTAATGTAAATAGAGAAAAACTATTATCATTTAATTTTGAATTATAAAAATTTTGAATTTTATAGCTTAATTAGGCACCTCAAAAGTCAAAGATATTAAATTCTTAATTCGAAGCGTGTGAAAATGAGTGCTACCACTTCAAAGGTACTCAAGCTGGACTTCAAGTGTCAAGAACATTCCAGCTTCGCTTAGGTACAATAATGCTTTTATTTATTCAAGTTTTCGTTTTCAATTGAAATAAGCAGAATTCGAATAGGTAAAAAAATAATTAATTTTTTTTTGACTGGCACATTAAAACAATTAACTTTACAGATCCAAAAGCAAGCATAGGAGGAATAACAACAAAACGCATTTTAAGACGACTTCAAGCGTATTTTAATGGGCGTTAATTTTTAATATTCATGGCTATGAAATTTGAAGTTTAATTACTCAGAACTCAGAATAAAAACATGTATGAGCAGTGTTTTGTATGATAAAGTAGCTCTACTAACCAAAGTAAGTCTTGAATAATTACTTAAAAAAGAAACACATTGAATCAACGAAAAAAAAAAAAAGAAAAAAAACATTAACCCTAGTCACATCAGTCGTTAGCGTGCAGAATTCAGAGAATTTCAGGCTAAAAAATTCATTCATGTTTTTCTTATTTTATTATAATATTTTTAAATTCAAATTCAAACATACAAGATCCATGTAATCTGAAGTAGTTTTTGCACGCTCCTCTATGTTGTTACACTCATGAGTAATTTAAGCAGCATGATGAACTCTATATTATAGCCTATTTACGCAGAAAAATGAATCTGGATCATGGTATCAAGGTTTAGTTAGCATTCAGAAGAAACTGTTGGTGCAGCAGTTGTAGAGTGGGAATTAGGAAACATATTATTTTATTGGAGAAAAATCTACAATGACCTGTAAGTAAATCTAACATAAGACTGATATCACTACGGGGCATTTCAATGAGAGAATTGGATTTCTTTTAAGTGGAATGCGACCACATTCCATACAGATACCTGTATATAGTCGAGTCATATCAACTGAGTAATAGTTTATATGATGTTAACGATTTGCCCAGATTGTTTAGGTGTTCCGAGTAAAGTTTTGAAGCACCTCTCCTCTCTAGTGCGTCTTTTTTATTATTCTTTAAAACAATAACTAGGTGTTTACTGCAAATCATTTACATGGTTTGCATGTAACAGACTTTTATAACCTTTGTGAACAATCTATGGTCGATATCTAATATATTAAATGTATTTTTCGAAAAGGTTACTTCAGACTCTAGCCTTAATGATAAACTATATTTTCTACATTTAAATAGATTCGAAGCCGCTATCGTTGGGTATGATAGTATTAGAAAAAGCGGAAAAAAATAATCTAAAAATGTAAAATATGAAGAAAAATTGTTGGGTCAAAATAAATTGAACGGGGAAACCACATCATAAGATACCATGTAGAGTTCAAATAGATAAAGCAATGCGAAGACATTGTTAAATATACAAGATTTAAGCGTAAAAGTAATGATAAATGATATATCTAACAAGAGTAGCTGATACTGGCTCACAAGAATTTATCATGAATTACAAACCATTTTTAATATGGTAAGTATTATTGTATTTAAATTGATTCAGTTCTTGTTTTCTGTTTTTTACAGTTGTTGGTTCAGTTCCAATTTAAAACCCTGATTTTTTGTTACACAACTTACCTTTAATTTTCTTAATTCATCTGACCATTTGCAGCCCTGTTTGTGATGAATGCAAAACACCAAAGAACCCATTATGGCTTGCTTTGGATCAGGTCCTGGATAGATCTGAAAAATAAAAATAATTTATTTATTATTAAATTTAAATAGAAAAATATATATAAAAAAATCAAATAAATAACGACTGTTTTGTATATATAAAAATTGTTTAGGAAGGTTTTAGAGTTTCAAGTAATGTGTTTTTTATCTTTAATTAAAAGTACTAAATTTTATAAATTAATTAGTGGTTTGAAATATATTATTTGTGTGCGAAAAGATATATTATAAAAATTGATTTCACTTAGTACTGAGAAATTTTCATTAATTGATGATGTTGTCAATTTTTTTTGTATTATTAATAATATCGTGGCAGGGCACGAGTTCTAGTCCTGTTATTTGTAGTTTCAAAAAATTATTTACTCACTGATAATGGGTATTCAAAAATTCAATCAATTAAAAATATAAAAGAAATAACTTTTGTTGTTGTAGTTCTTTTTTTTCTTTTTGAAAAACCTCTTTGAAAAATTATAATAAAAAATAAAAGGTTTCGAATAGAAATGAAAAGACAACAACAAAAAGTTTAGTTAATTTATTGAAATTTGGCTGACCATACAACGCTGTTTCGAGTATTGTTACGAAAAGAAACTATTTAAAAGTTAGATGGGTTCGAATAGAACTGAAAACACAACAAAAAAAAATTTAGTTAATTTATACTCGATTACGCTGTTTTGAGCATTGTTACGAAAAGAAACTATTTAAAAGTTAGAATAGTTCGAATAAAAATGAAAAGACAACAACTAAAATTTTAGTTAATTTATGGTCAGTCAAAATTCAATAAATTAACTAAAATTGTTGTTGTTGCATTTTCAGTTCTATTCGAACCCTTCACACTTTTAAATAGTTTCTTTTTATCATAAGATGCGTAACTTTCGTCGAGAAAAAATTAACATTAAATATTAACATTAAACAATAATTAATATTAATTAAAATTTAATGTAAAAAATTTTTGTTGTTGTAATTTCACTACTATTCAATAAAAGTCTCTTCATTAAAAAACAATCATTTGTATGAAGAAGTTAACAATTAATTTCTAATGTTTTAATGTTTTTTATAAAAAGTTTCAGAAAGTTAACCGCTTTAATTGAGCACTATTGATATATGTACAACAGTATTTCAATGAAACGTAACATATCGACAAATTATGACTGATTTCTCTGAAGAACAGTCCATGTAAAATTTAGCAAATTTATTTTTTATTTTAACGTTTTATTTTTCGGCGAAAAAGCAATTAATCAACATAACGAACTTTTTTTATCTCTTGTTTAAAAAATATCGAAAATCTATAGCGACTGCTTGATAATGAATGTGCTTCCTTCCGAACACAGGAACTATAACGACTAAATTAGAAGTTCTCAACTGAAAGTTGTTTCACATAAATCGGATACTTAATGAATGTTGGTGTCTTGAAGAACGGCAAAATGGATTTTGTCTTAAGTGGCGCCATCTATATGTAAGAACAATAAATTTTCAGTGCTCCAACATATCCGCATATCATTTCCAGTGAGTAGCCTAATATTCTTCAATGAGAGAACAATTGCATTAAAAACAAAGTCGTTATTTGAGAACGGATAAAATATGCAGCATTTTTTTAACTTTAGGTATGTGTGAAGTATCTCAGATTTATATTGAACATTATCCTATTAAGTGTTAACGGTTCGTTAGGCTAACTTGTTTTATGATGCAATAATATTTTAACTTCAGCGGAAGTGCATGAGTAATCATTTGAATATTCTAACTGAAAAACATAATAAATGTTTATTTAGTTTCATTCTTCTTTCCAAAACTAAAATTAATTGTAGAGGAAATATTTGCATTTATAATGAGCAAAGAAAACTTAATAGTTTTCGGTTGAATAATTTTATTAAGTAAACGCTGAATGCAATACACTAACATACATATGTTTGTCAGTAAGTTAAAAAATCGCTTACCAGTAAAAATTGTGTAAAAATAGTGATAAAACAGCTATAAGAAAAACATTATCTTTGTACTTGAAAAAGTTCATAGGGTTTCATTACAAAATGCACAGGCACCCTAAAAAACTAAATTAAGCATCTATAACATGAAGATTAAACTGCAATCAAACTGCAGTAAAGAATTATGCTGATACAGCAGTAAAATTTGCATTTTTTTTTAAACAAAATTACGAACTCAGCAAACATATGGGTATGGGTATGGATATGGACAGACAGACAGACAGACGGACGGACGGACGAAAAGAAAAAATATAATTTGCACTGGCAAGCGTTGCAGTTGCATTTTCTGTTGTATTAATAAATGACAATGTGCCTATTAAACGATAAAAAAAAGCAATAACAACAAGAATGTTGTAAAAAAATGATTTGTGAATGGTTCCAGTGCAACTCCACATCCGGTAGATAAGAATAATATATTGCCTAAGGCGCACATCGTGTAGACTGAAAAAAAAAAAAATTATGAGAGCATCTAAGAACAAAAAAGGAATCCGACCGATCGTCATGATGTGGCCGAGCAAACGGGGTCGGTCATATTGATGATTGGATGATGATTGGAGTACGAGGAAGAGTGAAAAAGTGTTAATGAATGAATAGGGAATAATAAAAATAAATAAAAATCTATGAGTAGTTAAAAATTGTTTGACAATTTTCTTAAAAAAATAACAACAAATTAACGATGTACTATAGTCAAATAATTAATTATGCTAAATTTTGTTATACACTGTAAGAAGTGCATATTTTTTTTAGTGCATATTTTAATAACTTTAGTTATATTAAAAACTTATACAGATTAATATTTTACTTCGATATCGTCAAGCTTCAAATATGCTAACTGATCTGTTTGCCCTGTTAGGTGCTGCATACAGTGGGGACTAAAGTTGATTTGTTGTACTGACGCACATTTCCGGTTGAAAATTTTTCAATTGACCTTATCCCCTTTAAATGTGACTTTAGAAGTCAATTCAATCGAAAAAATTTTTTGTAAATTTATTTAATTGCAGTTAAATAGTTTTGCTTTATTACGAACAGTACAAAAAAAATATACATACACATTTTGAATAATGTTTATTTAAGAATTGTCTAAACAATTGCAATATTAATTATTTCATTAAAATAATAATAGATTAAGAAAAAAAAAACATGACACTTTGCGCATAAAAATCTTCAATAATACTTATAGCAAAACAAAAATCTTCCCAAAAATATATTGGATTAAATAATACACTGATAAAATACACAATTCAGAGAGGTTAAAGAATGGTAGTGCACGTTCTTCAGCCGTGAGTTAAGAAGAGATTACTTAGGTTAGATTAAGTTATACTGGCGACCGTGAGTTAAGAAGAGATTAGTTAGGTTAGATTAAGTTATACTGGCGATCTCAAGAGATTCACTTAGACCTATAGGCCCATTGTGTTGCCGTATAATTAAAAACTCAAGGTTTAGAACTATTTATTAAAACCCTTGATAAGACTTATAATGCCATTCAGTGGGAGGTCTTGCAATTCGCGTGTTGGAAAGAAACAAATCAGATGGTAGGCACTTTCATTGTCCTCTTCATAACTGCAGCAGCTATGGTTGAGAGAAAGACTTAGTTTCCTATCATGGTTATCCAAAATACAATGACCTGTAAGTAAATCTACTACAAGACTGATATCTCTACGTGGCATCTCAATGATAGAGTATGATTTTGTTTTATGGTATACAGATGCCTGCATATCGTTGAGACTTCTCATCTTTTGTTGAAAAGCGATTAGTTAGTGCAGTTAGTTTTTTCATAATAATTCACATACAAACTATATATGGTCGTAATTATATTAAAGTTAAAGAATACAATTAAATGAGAAATATATAACATGACTTCAGCCGTTTCACGGAGTCAAAAAAAAAAAAACAAGAAATAAAAACAATTACAACAAATGTAAAAATTTTTATAAATTTTTATAAATTATGAAAATACTAATGTTTTAATATATAGTAAATGAACCTTGATCAAAAACATAGAAATATAAAGACATGTAATTTGCCTCTGTTAAAAAAATCATGAATTCTGAAAAGGTACACGCAATGGGAAAAACATGTCTGTTCAAACGTATAAACAATCGAACTTATTATTTTATGTATGATCAATGCTATTTTGTTAGGGAAGTCAACAATCAAACCAATAGCGAACATGTTGTATTTTGCTTGGACAAAATCATATAGAAAAAACTCTAATATCAGAGCAAATGCACACATAGCTTCTAGCTCATGCGTATGTAAGTTTCTTGGTAAATTTTTTCTATTCTTCTTTTTATTGCACACTTAATAAATATATATATGCATGGGTAGGTGAGACAATATTTTTGAATATGATGCTTGGATTTTGTTTGTGTGCTTTTTTTTTTCTTCAAATATATGACTGGCTTCGTGTGCATGAAATACACAAGTCTTCCAAATTATTTAAAATTTGATTTTTGCTGAAATTTTATACTAGCTTCATACTAATATATGATGTTTGCCTATGATATGATGCGAAAACACCGCAGTAGCGCAACCACAGTTGTTATTAGTGTAAATGCTCTTAATATGTTTGGCTGCCAAGACTCGGCTATGCCATACAGTAACAATAGTTTTATGAAGAATATTCATAAACACCATATTATACAATAATTTATTATGTCTTATATATTAAGTTTTTATTATTATATTCTTATATCAAATACAATAGAATTATTAACTAAATTTATTACTTAAATTATATAGAATACAACTATAAACCTTAGATAACTAATTATACATTAACTTAAATTAACTAGAACTATTAACTAAATTTAATTGCATATTACTTATAACTGTTTAAAATAAGTTTATTTATTTAGGGTGAATATTTTTGTTTCATTGCTAATTTTTCTAAACATTTATAAATAGTATATTTTGTATTAAAATTAATATTTTTGCAATTGTTTTTAATATGCTGGTAAATTTTGCACTATATTAACAAAATCAACGATAATTTTTTTATAATAGTGAAATTGAATTGAGTATCCATTT